AAAAGGTAATCTTACTAAATCTTTTCCACAATCTATTGTATTTGATCAAAGAGATAACTGTAAAATGGCCTAATTAAATGTGAACAGCCTGCTTTAACTTATACTTGACTTTATTAAATCAAAATATTTGGTCGTTGTAATGTTTTCTCTATATTGGGTGCCAGAGTCTTTCGCAATAAGGGCTAATCTCTTTCGCAACACTCTCGTCACAGCCGCCCCCTTCTCACAAGGTGAAGGTACTTTGATACGCCAACGGTACCATGGGTGTCACAGCCATAGAGAGTCAAATGATGAAGAGCGGGGCAAAGGAGAATGGGAGGGGAACGTAGTTTCCATAGTCTCGTCTTTCCATACTCTCGTCTTCGCAATTCCTTTCCCCGTTCTTCATCATCCTTTCATTCTCTGTAGCTCTGGCACCCAGAATATGCCAACGAATGTATGTTCAATCTAGGACGTACTTCATAAGATGTAACGTACAGGGGATTGAAGTACGTGGCATACAGGACTTAGCTCTGGGGGAATGGCTATCTTTTCCCTGGATGGGGTGGCCAAGTCGATCGATTTGAATAAAAAGAAGGTGCTGCATTGATTGCCAGGGTGCATTCCATGTACGATCTTCGGCGTACACTCCATTCACACCTTTTATTAGATTGTTTACAGCAAGTAACAGCGAAGTGTTCTACCTACCGATCAGTTTTGATGGTCCTAGCCAAATGTTACAAGCAAACAATTTTGGCGTCCTCTTGTCTTAATTTCCACCCACTGAACAAAACGTTCCCCTTGGCGCGAAGATCTTCGGCGTACACTCAGGTTTTTTTGGCGTTCTAAGTGCAAACTTATAGAAAAAACATTTTTGGCATACGTAAAATCTTGAAAACAAGAAAACATATGACACAAATGTTGATTGGGCCATGGCAACGAAACGTGCTTCGATTGTTCATAGCCAGTTAGAGCAAAGTTTTCTACCCGTATACGATCAATTTTAATGTTTCTAGCCAAATATTACAAGCAAACAATTTTAGCACCCCTTATCTCCATTTGCACCCATATTGAGGGGCCATGGCCCCCTGCCCCCCCTTGCTACCACGCCACTTGGACTTAAATTGTACGACGTATCATAAAAATTTGAATGCATGTAAATAAAATTCTGCTTCAATTTTGTAGGTTGACCAAGAAGTCAATGCTCAGTTTCTGGGTTTGGTAGTTAGCGGTTACAGCATTTTTCAGGTTATTGGTTCCATTTTGTTTGGTGCTTGGTGCAGGTACCGTCCAGCTATCGAGCCATTGTTGGCAAGCGCTTCTCTTCGCTTTATTGGGAATTTCTTGTACCTTTGTGCTGAAAACTATCCTGGTTTTGCTGGGAAAATGTTGATTCTGTTGGCAAGGCTCATTGTTGGTTTTTCAGCAGGTAAAATGCTACTTCACTTTACTTGTATTTGGTAGTTAAATGATTTGTATTGCAAGTCTCTAATCTGAGATTTCATCTTAAAGTGGGGTAGCAATTTGCACTATCGTTATTTTGATCCATATGCGAACCAAAAATACAGTTCTTTACTGATGACGTCACAACAATCTACTTTGAGAATTTTTTAACGTTGATTCCATAGCCTAAAAGAGCATTATAAAATATTTCTAACTGTGTAAAATCAGTCAAATGAGTTATGAATTGGCTGAGATATGGCCATAGGTGTATTGGCCCTTTCCTCATCAAACCTCTGTATTTTGGTCTCTGTTCATTATTTTATGAATAGAGCCAAAATAACAGTGATTCATTAGCAAGTTTCAAATCTTTCATTGGTAATATCTCAACCGATGCTAGACAAATTTGACTAAATTTTCATATCTGGTGTTGAACTTATGAGTATTTCATGGTGATATTTCATGCTGTGTGGTTAAAATCTAAAAATTCTAAAAATAGGTTTTAGTGAAGTCAGAACTCTACTAGTATTGGTGTATCACTGAGCAGTATTCAATGAAAAGCCACGCGTCACAAAAATTCAGCTCTAAACCACCATCCCCCCTACCCACTCTTCTTCCCCTTCTGATGTTTGGATAGACAGCATAGTTTATCTTGCCAGGAGATATAGCTGTTTGTCGCACTGTGGCATCTCAGTCAACTGCAAAAGACGAGAAGAACAATGCATTGACAGTCCTGGTTGTATTGGAAGAATTTGGGTCTACATTAGGTCCAGGTGGGTAGACCATATTTCTCTGTGACTGTTTCTTGCTGAACTTACCAATTTGAAAATTTATTTCAAAGAAGATTCTCTAAGTTAGATTAGACTGAATCGTATCTGTTAATCCTGTCAAGTCCATTGCACGCAACGATGAAGTGTCTAAGGATCACGTGTCGCGTAAATTTTCTTAGAGACTCGGTGGCTATTGCCCCCCCCCCAACGTGGAAAAATTAATAGATTTCTATGGTAAGGGGTGCTTAAAATCACTTATTACAAATTACATGCCTTTTTAGCACACAAAAATCTCTTTCTCAAGTTAAAATATTTATGGAATTCATAATAAGTCGTTAAGAAAATAATGGACCAACCAAGAAGCTGTCTATTGAGTGTGATGCAAACGACCTTTTTATGTCGAATTTTTTTCTTTTCAATGCTTTAAGCTTGACCACAATTATTACTTTTTGCTTTGTTGGAGATTTCTTCGATATTAGCCCAAATAATGAAGATAGTTCACGAAAGATAATTTATGCCAAAAGCTGAATGCTTTTTTTGCCAAGCATAAACGCATTTTTTGTGAAATGTGTGACATTACCGTATGAAAAAAAGTTTTGCATTTTCAGAAAAATTAATTTTTCGCCATCTAAGTTTTTCGCCATCAACTAGTTGAAACGCCGTCAAAAGTAGTTACTGAGGAACTTCATGGGAAATTTTTCAAACGTGTCAGCAAATAGGCCCTTGACACTCCTCTCGAGCAAAACAGCTACAGACGGTCTTGGGGGTCTAGACCCCTATCATTTTTCTCAAAAAGGAAAAAGGGGTATTTTCATTAGAAAAAGGCTTTAATATTTTGGTTATGACGCTAAAAAGAATGGTCACAAATGACACATGTAATGGACCTAGCAGATGTAATGGACCTCGCAGAAATAATATAAATGATTTAGTCTGACATTTCACGCACTTGTTTGGTCATACGTCATCATGTTGCAGTAATAGCGTCTATCTTCAAGCCCCAACTCTACAGCGTGTTTTATGATGCACTACGCACTGGCTTTGAAGAAGAATGGTTCTGGGACTCAAAAACCAAAATAAAGGCACAAGACTTTGAACGGAAAAGGGCCTCTACGACCTCTGGTAAAAAAGTCAGAAGAAAGAAACCAAGACATCTTTCAGTCTGTTTCAACGGCCCATATAATTGAAAGATTCGTAGAGGACCTTTGTATGAAACAAGCGAATGTAGAGAAATATTCGCTGACTGGTATTAGAAAGCAGTAAAGATGGTACAATAAGTTGATGTTCAGCTATTCCATTCCTTGAGAGTATTACAAATCAGCTGAAGTCAAGGCTTGGGGACAGAAACCAGGTGAAGTCAAGGCTCGTGGAACTGTACCAACTCCTCCCATTCTTAATGCGAAGCAAAGAATTCAATGTTAACCATTTGCAGAGCAAATTGTCTTCGAATATGGAAGATGATGGGCTGCTTTTCAAAAGTGAGCTGACACTGGGAAAAAGAGATGACAGCAAGGCCGCCGAAAAGGGGGCCAAGAGGGGAAAATTGCCCTGGGCCTCGAGTTCTAGGGGGACCTCATAATCACGGATTCCGTTTTAAAACGAAATTTATAAAAAGAAACAAACTAACAATTAAGAAGTAAAACCTTTTAAATGAATGAAAGAATTTAAGCTATTCGTAAGGGTGTTCCCCCTCGGGCCTCCTAATGCTTTCGGCAGCCCTTGATGGCAGACAGAAAGGAGAAGTGCGATGAGCTTTGAGAAAATAACGAAGCCATATACATAATTAATATGTAAAGGAATCAAATAAAGACTCATATATGCCTTTATCGAATCAACGGAGACCAAACTCCTGAATACTTTTGAACAACATCTATTAGGGCATGGTTTATGCTACTAATATAATAAAAAATTTCACTTGAACAACAAAGATGCTATTACTGCAATTTGACAGGGATCTTAGTTTTCATTCGAGATACGGGATATATATATTGAATTATTATTATATATTTATATTGAAGATTGAATTAGGAGCTTTCGATTTAAACAGCCTCAGCCCCATAGAGGGGAGAAAGCTAATTTCGAACTTTTTCATTTTTCAGCTTTGCAAGCTGTAGCCGTACCCCTGCTTGGCAAAGGACTACATTATTCGTTTGTGAATATTGACATTTTCAACATTGCTGGATGGATCGGACTAGTGACGACAGTTTTCAGAATATTCATCACTCTTATCTGGTTCAAAGAACACAACATTGATGTGAAAGACAGCACAGGCAATATCTCATATCCTTTTCCTTTAATATCATGCAGTATATTACAAAATCTTAAGATATTTTATATTCCCCATTCCATTTTCAAATGAATTTTTTCTAAAGAGTATAACGTGCATTTTAATTACGCAATTAATTTTTGCAAATGATGAAAGACAAATGGAGAAAAATGTTTTCTATATCTCTCGGTTTGTTTCAATCTTTTGTTGGGAAGAGGCTTCTGAATGATGTTGAACCTGTACCCCGTATACTATTTTTAAACAAGACCGATTTAAGCAAGTGGGAACGCTACAGAGAGTGTGTATTTCTGCTTCTCGAAAAATTAAATGTTATATTCAACTAGAAAATTAAATAGGTAGAATATCCAGCTTCTCTAATTGTGTTTATTCATTGCCCATGTGGATCACCTGATGATAAGGAGGCAAAAAACAGGAGTCTGGGCCATCGGCTAGAACTGAATAGGAACCCAAAACCATCTGCCTAAAATGCACCTGCCACAGAGCTGTTATCTTCTAGGTTCGAATCATATATCAAAAAGATCTTTATGTATTTTCATATATACTGTGTTTCAATTCTAGGTGATCTTCCAAAGCCGAACCTGCGTGCTGCTTTCGTTACGATATTTGCATTTTTCGTCCTTTGTTGTGATGTTGCGATTATTGAAACGTAAGCTGAAGTTTATATCGTACTAGTTTTCAAAAATAATTTGATCATTCTTGTAGCATAAGTAATGGGTGTACAAGCGGTGTTATTCTGTGATAGGACTATTTGCAAAGGGGAACGTGTTGGTAGAGGAGGTTTGAGGGAGAAGGGGTATGGGTAAAGGAGGTTTGAGGGAGAAGAGATTTGGTCATATAAAAAAAATAAATGCAAATTGATGGTGTAGGAGAAAAGGGGCTAGAAAATGAATAGGAGAGTCTTGTGTCAAAATTAAAGTAGAAGCTGGTAAAAGATGCAGAAAAGAAAAATGATGAGAAAAATATTTCAAAGTGAGATACAAACTCTATCTATTTACACCGATCGGAAAATATTCCTTTAATATAGAGGAATTTACAAACTACTATTTTCACCCAATGATGTTCAAAATGTCGTTCAAGATATGTTAATCTATGGCCAAATTTCAATTGGTTTGGTTTCACAATCTAAAATAACAGCAAGTTTTATTTCTGTAACCGTTTTTCTTCTGATGCTCGTAAGAGAAAGATTGGTTTATTCTGTTCTCTAGCCTCTTGACAATGCATCCTACAAAACCGACACAAAATTTCACGAACACCTGAAAAAATATGATTGATAGATCCATTATTCAAGGAACTTTTTCAAACTTCTTAAGAAAGGCTACAGTCTCATCTGTTTATAAGAAAAAAGATTCTTTCAATAAGGAAAATTATAGACCAATAACACTTTCGAAGGTATTTGAAAAAGCAATAGAGCTTCAATTTCTCCATTTCTTGAAGAAAAATTTTCGAAATTCCTATGCGCTTATAGAAAATAGTTTTCCTTCCAGCGCGCTCTTTTTAGACTTATTGAGGACTGGAAAACAGAACTGGAATTATGTAATTTTGCTGATGACAACACGATATCTGTCACTGCAAAAAATTCTGATGAACTATTGCAACTTGTAAAAATTAACATAAAAAATGTCTTGGTTGGTTTGAATCTAATGAAATGGTTGCAAATCCCTCTAAATTTCAAGCTAAGACAATCAGCAGCAAAGTAAAAATGCATAAATGATTTTTAAATTGAACAAGAATTTGCAATAAAAATAGAGAAAAACGTTACTTTGCTTGGTGTTCAGATCGATGAAAATTTAAAGTTTGATGCTCATATCGATAAGATCTGTAAAAAAGCAGATAAACAGTTAAATTCTTTAAAAAGAGTGGCAAGATTTATGGGCGACAGAGAAAAAGACAATTATGAATCATTTATACTATGTCATTTCAATTATTGTTCATTGATATGGATGCTATGTGGTAAAGGAGTCAGGATAAGCTAAAGAAAATTAACGAGAGGGCATTAAGACTAGTCTATTCGGACTATTCATCTTCGTACAAAGATTTAATTGCTAACTCAAAAGAAACTACCATATATGTACAATCAGTTAGAATTTCAGCGCTCGAAGTTTATAAAACATTTAAAAACCTTATTAATCCTGTTCTCATGAAAGACTTTTTTGTATCGAAAACAACAGGTCATAACCTTTGACTCAAAAACCCCCTGGACATTTCAAAAGCCAGAACTTCAAATTATGGTATCAGATCATTAAGTTTTCAAGGGCCTAAAATCTGGAATTCACTCCCGGAATCAATTAATACAGCACAAAATGATAGACAATTTAAGAAGCTGATCAGAGCTTGGTTCTTTGAAAACAAGTGCGCATGCTCATTTTGCAGTAAATAAACTGTCTTATGCAATCCTTGAAATTATTTCATGTAAGTCTTAATTACTGTATATTCACTATTGTAAAAAACTAACATTAATTAATCTACAATATAATACAATACAATACAATTCTGATTTTCCTTCTAGATAGTTGCGTGACCTTAGTAGTTATTAGCATCGAGCACCACTTGTGATACCAGTAAGCAGTCACCGTCTCTTCAAAGTGATATTTTTCGCTATTTCGTGTCATTTATAGTTATACAAAGTTAAATAATAGCAAACTACGAAAGATGATGATGTGTGTTGTTTGTGTGTTAATTTGTATTTGTTTTTACCAAGCATATTTAGGTAGCTTTTAGGGTAACACTGAGGGCCTTGGCTACATAAAACTGTTTATATAGGTCAACTGTATTGCAAAATTCTTACTCAGAAGCAAAAATTTCATTTTTTAATTTCTTTATTTTTTCATAAAATTTCAAGGCAATTGCGTTACACCTTTCTTATGACTGTTTCATGCCCTCTTATGGAAGATAATGTGTTTATTCATTTTATTCAATCATGTAAATATTTAGTGTTCAGTGCTTCTTTCTCAATCATTTCTAGTATGACAAGTCCATTGCTTGCAGAAGAGTTTGCCCTGCGAAAAGACGAAGCGGTTCTGTACGCTGGGATAACCCTGTCTTCGTTAAGTGTTATCAACTTAGCAGCTTATATCATCATCAGACGTACACAAAACAGGTTCCTTACTTTTAAATTATATTCTTATTCCTTAGCCCAATTCCGAAAAAACTAATTATATATGGGTGATCATCAGGGATGTCAAAAGTATTTCAAACTTGAAGGGGCCTAGGGGAGATGTGACAATAGGTCGCAGAAAAAAGGGTCCTTTTCCAAGACTTCTTCAAACTAACCTCTTAGGAAAAGCTAGGGGGACGTTCCTCAAGTGATGACGCCCTATTTTGGATAGAGATTTTGAAATCCTCAAGGGCAAAATACCGGAATACCAATCATGCTAGTTTTATGTGCCCTTATTCAGATCAGCCCAGAGCCTTTTTCTTTTCCATCCTCCTCATCACTCATTCTTTGCCACCGCAGTCTTTTCTATTTGTCTACAATACTTTATCCTCGAATTCATGAGGCTCTGGTACCCAAGGTATTTCCTTAACTTTAAAGACACATCTCAATTGTTTCAAGCTATGGAAGCAAAGTTCTATATGTCACAGTTGGCTTTCATGTATTTGTTTCAATAGCTTAGGCCTGTGTTGTGTGAGCGGGATTGCCCAACCATTATTACTGACATTTTCCATCTTAATCACAGCACATATTTTACTTAAAAAAAAATTCTTTTAATTCTAGTATAGGCAACAAAAGGTCAACTGATTTGTATGCATTAATCAGACTTTAATACAAAACATAAAATAATATGTTATTTTTCTTAGATTTCGCGAAAGGTCCATTCTTTTTGTTGGGTTCGTCGTCTTGCTCTTGGCATTTGTTATCTTCTTGCCTTGGGGAAGTGAGCACCATAAACTTCAAACGAAAGGTGCGTTCACAGAGCTTTAACCTTGTCTACACAAAAGCAGGACCAGAATTCTTTTGAATACGATCAAAGGTGCTTAAATAGGATCAAATCCAAAACCTATTACAAAACCAGGATTGGACCAAGTTGAGATCCATTAGCGACATGTATGCGCATTTTAAACTTTTTTAGCAACGCTGCATTTAGAGAGAACGTGAAAAACGATTTATCAGAAGCAATATACCCTCAACGGAAAGCACAATTCGCCAAAATGTTTGGAAAAAAAGAACTTCCACCCTGCGTAAGGATCTTGCTAATAAAGCACATTTGGACCTGAAACGGCTGTCTCAGCCCAAAATCAGGAAAATCTTAACAAGGGGGTTCTGCCCACTGCACTCAGCCCCCCTCTCCCTAGCAATTACTGCTAGGATCGAACAGTTTCTATATAGGGATGCCACGTATTCACTCTCCTGTAAACAGGGTTAGGTTGGCGCAAAAGGTTAAACAATCACATTTTCGTACGTCTGTTGGTTATAAACGTTATAACCGTTATAAACGTCACGGTTATAAAAATATTTCTAGAGAGATTTCTGTTTATTAATTATCAGCTACATTTTTATGAAAGGTTTTCCCTGGTGTTTACCTTTCAGTGCAGTGTCCATTTCTTCACAAAGAAGTTACTATAATATAATTATTTGTTAACTTATGAAATTACTTACCACTTTAAACAAACATATGCGCTACATTTTACTATATAATTTTTAGAGCGTTTGTTCTATTCTTTTTCTGTAGATCTAAACAAATTTTGGTTTGTCTTTTCAGAAGTAGTTATTGTTGGAAATGTTTCAAAGGTAGTATTGTCTCCCGGTTGCCCAATCAAGTACAATTGGTGCAAAACCACGCCCAAGATACGCCCAATACAATTTGCTATTGGGATTTTTTTTGCATTCGTTGGATTTGTTATGCCCCAGTTTATCATCAATCTACTATACTCGAAAGTAATTGGGCCAAGGAAACAGGTGAGACAGCACTATATTTGTCTTATTCAAGAAGATTATTCTTTATAACACTAACAAATGTATCATCAAAATGTATTGGTCAAGGAACCATGCTATCAGCAATAGCAGGGACGGGCCACTTCCAGAAAAAAATGACACAGGGGGATCTAGTAATAGAAAGGCATAATGGTGCTAATATCGAAAGACAAAAAAAGCCCATTCACTATCTGTATCTAAATTCTATCAGATTTTATCGTCCAAATTGATGAGCGTATTTAATTCATACCATATTTTTCAGCGGCATCATGCTCACTGAATGGCCAATACGCTTTGAAATCGTACCGTTGTCGTCTCAATTGTTTACGTCTTTATTCATTGCCGTATTTATCAGAGGCATCATGAATCCTGAAGGATCTTGAGGCCATCACGTTATGATATCACACCGCTTTCATCTCAATAAGTTAACGTGTACGTCTTTATTCCATTCGTTTTTATCAGCCGCGTCGTGTACACTGAAGGCCAATACGTTATGACATCACACCGCTTTTATCTCAATAAGTTAACGAGTACGTCTTTATTCCATTCGTATTTATAGGCGGCGTGGTGTACACTAAAGGCCAATATGTTATGACATCACACCGCTTTCATCTCAATAAGTTAATGTGTACGTCTTTATTCCATTCGTTTTTATCAGCCGCGTCGTGTACACTGAAGGCCAATACGTTATGACATCACACCGCTTTTATCTCAATAAGTTAACGAGTACGTCTTTATTCCATTCGTATTTATAGGCGGCTTGGTGTACACTAAAGGCCAATATGTTATGACATCACACCGCTTTCATCTCAATAAGTTAATGTGTACGTCTTTATTCCATTCGTTTTTATCAGCCGCGTCGTGTACACTGAAGGCCAATACGTTATGACATCACACCGCTTTTATCTCAATAAGTTAACGAGTACGTCTTTATTCCTTTCGCATTTATAGGCGGCGTGGTGTACACTAAAGGCCAATATGTTATGACATCACACCGCTTTCATCTCAATAAGTTAATGTGTACGTCTTTATTCCATTCGTATTTATCAGCCGCGCCGTGTACACTGAAGGCCAATACGTTATGATATCATAGAGTATTCACCTCAATACGTTACTGCGCAAGTCTTCATTTCATACCCTTTCCTTCAGCCGTTCCTTAAAAATGCAGACCAATATTGTATGATAGCGTGCAGTATCTTGTAAACGGGTCCTTACATTAAAATAAGAAAATGTCAAAATCACTTTAGAGCCCCTTTATCCTTACATGGTTACAAAGTATCTCATTGATTTTGAAGGTTTGACTGATTTCAATTCTTTATTTTTTAATTAGGGTTTGTACATGGCCTCTTTCAGCTGTGCTGGCTCATTTGGAGATTTGGTCGGACCACTGGTAATGACTTCATTGTATGCACATTTTGGACCCAGAGGATTGTTTCTTTGTGCAGCGATTGTGAACTTGATAACTGCTACCATGATTGCAGGTTTTCAAACAATATTAGTTCCATTCGAAGAATATATTAAAGTACCTGGCGCCAATAAGTGATAATTTAAGTATACAAAACAATATATGATTGGGTTATAATTTTTTAGAGACTAAATCATGCTCTGTCTATGTAAAGATTTGACTTACCTGAGTCTCAAAAATGTCAAACTTGTTATTATTTTTGGGCTATTTCTTGTGAAAACCAGATCTAAAAGGCAAATATTGTCTTCCATATACTTTTTCTGGAACGTTTTCTAAACTCTATATAAAATGCGGATGGCCGTCTTACACGATCTGAAGTTTCATCTTGAGCATATGTATTGCATTTATCTATTTGCTGTAAGTCTAAAATATTCTTAGGTTAGAACGTATGGAAAAATCTGCAAGCCAAGTTGTGATGGCAAAAGAACAATATCTCGGAAAATAATCTAGAGAAAACAATAGGAAAGAAAATTCCTAATTGGACTGTACCCCTTCTTCCTTGTATGCATAAAAATTGTATTGATTTTGACGTCCTGTTTATGTCTTTGTAAAAAAAGCGAAGAATTTGGTAGCTTATGGGAGACAGCGTTTATTGGTTTCCTCTAATAGGTGTGCTGTTTCTTTTTTGAATTGATGTACCAAAAATGCGATTGGGGATGTCTCAAAAAGTACCCTTACCACTTTCAAGACAACTGCTGACATGTTACCCCTGTTAAAGTTTGACTTTTAGAATAGAGTACAATCTCAGCCTGAATATTTTACCACATAACTCGGTAAAACCTTCCCTCCATTAAGACGTCATAAAATTACTGGAATGACAACTTCAAGTCTAGAAGTATATCAAGTCTATAAGTTCTCTTTGAAGTCAAACTTCGATAATACAACGTTGCTGTCGAGTTCAACTTTGTTTGGGGTTGATGCCAAAATTATCTGGATATTTCGTGGAAATCATTGCAGGAAAAGTCGCTTTAAAATGAAGTTTTTCAGGTTATCACCAAGCAACTGACGCACTTTGCAGAGGAGTTGAGAAGGTTTTCGGTCTTCCAGTTCTTCCCAAATCAGCAGTTGGTCAAAACGTTTTTGTTCTGAGGCCGAGGCTCGCTTGATGAGTCCAGATTTCAAAACATCGAGAATACCCCTTATTTCTTGCGCAATGTCTGGCTGGAGCAAAAATATCACGTCAGCAAATTTCGTTGACTGTGACGTGATGTTGCGAGTCAGAAACTGTGCTTCAACTTGAACAAACCAAACAATTGGATCGTTAGGCCCGTATGGAGGAAGTTTCAAGGCAAAATCTTGGACAGTAGGCGATGTAGCAGAAGCGGTCGATGTTGATGGTGATGCAGCGGCAGTGGATGGCGAATCGTTGTTCATGGTGGTGTTGAAATGGCAATGAAAATTGCTTGGAATGGATGGGCAAAATAACACCAAATATGAACAAGCAAGAACCCAAGGATAAACGGCGATAGAATTGAAATAGCAGCAAAAACAACGTCGTGGTTACCAATTTAATAGCTCTTTTTGTAGCTGTGCATGAATAAATAAACTATTGATAAAAGAGTTGTAAATCAACGATCTCACCAATCTTTATCTTCTTGATTTTGGTTTAAACTGCCTTAGGCCATCGACACAATGAAAACAAATCTGCGGTGTGTTTGTGCGTCTTTACGTCAGCGAAATTAAAACTAACCACACAAACGAAAGGAAAACTAACGTCTTTACCTCGGGTTACTATACAAAGAAAGCCTTCTTCTCTTCCCTACTGTTTCTGCTTTGCCAAAATGGCCTTGTAAGCTAGACTCTACCTGCTACTTTTGTCTTCATTAAGCGCAAGGCAGATTATTTCATCGTTAATTGATTGCTGTATTTGTTTGCGTGACATTTGCCACAACAAAATATCTTATTTCATCGAATGTAGCGCGCGTCGATGTGAAGGACAAGGCCCCGCAAGGCAACTCTCACCCTCGGAAATGAACGCTTGTAGACCGTTGTGTAGACCGTGGCTGTTTCTTCGCAATTTTCTGACTTGTCAGGGGGAGGTTTGCCCCCAAAATCACCCAAAAGGTGTATAATAATACCCCTCAAAGATAGAATTAACCTTTGTATGAGTTCCATGAAGAAAACGGCAAAATATGACGAAAATCCCACGGTCTGCACTCAAAAGGAGAATTAGATCTAGAGTACTTCAAATTCAATTCTCAGAAAGTGTAGACCGTTGACACTTTCCTGAATTTCTTCAGTTTTACAACTTGTATCGATCTGAAAACCTACAATATTTTTTATACTAGCCATGCACACCTACTGACGAGGTTTTGTCTACTTTCTTTGAAAAATACGATTTTTATGAACATTTTAAATGTGTAGACCGTGGCTGTAGACCGTTGATAACCATTGGCAATAGGCATTTTCGTACTACATCACGTGCCCAATAGGAAAAGAGCGTTCTTTCAATTCCTAGCATACTTTAACAATGGAAAACGAACAATTATAATTGGCACAAACCATTTTCCAATTACTGGGACAAGGGAAGGTAGAAAATAATAGGGAATGGGGTGTCTATGAGCGCTACCATGTTGCCACATGTGAATGCGAAGGAGCATAGCCTAAGCAAATTTATTAAATTCGTAGATGGTTTTGGGAGGGTTATGGTGGATAAAATTGAGCCATTTGAAAGTTTTCTCACCAGCATGTTTTTCGCAATTATTTATATCATGCATGGTTTGTAGACATTCTCATGAAATTTTTTGTTTTTTTCATCAAAAATTAAACCATAAACAAGGGGACTTTTCAGCAAATAAAACACTTTTTAAAAAGCACCAAACTGAACAGTTTTTCCTTTGAAAATGATAGTTTTCTTAAACCGATGATCGAATTCTGCACAAAATACTTGCATTCAATAGTTATTTAAATGATATTGACGGAAAAAATCAGTAGAATGTTTTTTGTAACAAATAACAGTACTCGGATATCTACTATATCAATCTGTAACGACACAGGGTTCCCTTACGGACAGTATCACGTGACAATTGCACCATTGCGCTGTGATTGCATCAGCGTCTGTAAATATGTTTTTTGTATTACGTAATTATTATTTTAAGGTTTGCTTAGGTTATATAAAGGGTTGTTTCATAACTTAGGAGTAGTCTTGTCGAAAGTTTTGCCGTACTGCTTGGAGCTCTGCTGCTAGTTTTGTCGTGCCTGTTGAAGCCGTGTCGTTATTTGTCGAACTTGTTGTTAGCCGTTAGTCGTATCATTGCCATTAAAAGAAGAATTTTGATCTTATCTGCCGTTGCCGTATTTTTGAGAATTTCTGCCTACAAAGAACTCACGTTTGTAAAACCCCCATTTTAAGAGGTTTTACAAATCGTTCAGAGTCCCAATCCCCTCCCCCCCCTTTTAACTGGGTAAAAAGTAAAAATTTTGAATTTTCATCAGCAGCAGTGAGATCAGCACCATCGAAAACCTTAAGGTAGGACAATGTTTTGATGTTGCAGATTGCTTTTTTTTAGAACATTTTTCAGACAATGCCTGCCAAAAGTCTTGGAACACTGATGCCCATTTCCAAGGTCAAAATCAATCATCTACAGATTACTATCCCTTACAGAACAATGTTGGTTTACTATCAAACGGGTTAGGATTGTAGGAAGCACTTTCTTTTGCGCTTCTTTTATGATATTTCTCTAACAAGGATGAAAAATGTTTTGAGCCGATCAGACTGTTTGTTTACATTTTCAGCCAGCCAATGGTATTGTATAAAAGACAATAGAAATCTGAAGAGAAAATTGAATCGAATTAGACGCAACAGCGATGCTCGCATCTCCTATCCAAAGCTGTGGGGAAAAACCGGCGCCACAAAAAGTTAACGCTGAACGCGAAAATTGTCATTATTGAGGTTCTTGATACAATTGTGCCTAGCAAAGGAGTATATCTAAAAATTTGTCGTCTCCATTTTAAAAATGTGGTGGTTAACCAGAGATAAGCGATGAAACGTTTAGCCCATTTTTGCCCTGATTGAATCTGCTCACGTTGGTTATTGTTGGTTGTACTCCAAAACGGCATCATGTCATTTATTGAAAAACAGGTCATTTTTCACCTACAAAGTATTTACATAGTAGCTTTTAAAGTTAAACGGTGAGGTAATTATCAAACTCGGGTTTCTCCCTTCATTTTGCCTTTTTCCTGCATGTTCTTAACCCTAGGACAGTCCGTCAGCTTTCTTTCATAGAGTGCGTTTTAAGGTGTTGCGTACAGCAGAAATGCATACCCTATCTTGAAAAGATAGCGGCATTGTTGCAAAAATTTATTCCAAAATCATATGCCTATTCCTGATTTTGATAGGTTTGTAGGTGCTAGCAATGGTTCTTCTCATGGCAAAGTTTTATTGGAGGATTTGTCAACGAATTTTGTAGGAGTGCACGAATTGATTATCGTTTATTTTTCAAAAATATATATCGATAATATAATTGATATATTTTGTCTCTGTTGTGGAAAAGATTCGCTTTTTTGATGAAAATGTGTGAGATTTCAAAATGCTTATTAGTTAAAATTGCTTTAATTACGTTACATTTTAATTTTTTTACTAATGTCAGAAGCTCGCATGTGTTAGAGTACACTCTGTAAAAATTTGGGCATTATTATTTTTGGGCAAAGAAATTTCAGCCCCCCCCCCCCCTACCTGAACTCACCTCGTACGCCTATGTCTGGTACCCAGGGTAGTTATTGATGAATATTCAGATTAAAACAACAAGTTGCTTTTTTAGGCAACCGTAACTCTATTTTGGTTACATTTAACGAATTAAATTGAATTGAATTGAACTAGCGAAGAAGCTAGCAACATGTCTTCCCCATTGTTTTCGGTTTTTTCTCTATTCCAGTTATTTCTTTCGCTTAACATTATTAAAATTTAGTTATAAAAAACATTATTTTCAGTTTTAGATTATTTTCCACGCGGTTATGCGATTTTAAGAAAAATATTGCACAGGTTGACGGTTTTGCGAAAATTTCAGTTGGTTATTCGGTTTCCTGCCCCCAAAAACATTTTTGAATACTGTTTAACTTCTTCCAAAAACGGTTACAGAAAGGCTCCTTTCTGCAACATTTTTGAAGAGAAACTTTTTGTATTATTTGTAGTAATTTCATTTAACGAGGTTTTTGTCGTTAATTTGGATTTTGAAACCCTTATCTTTGTTCGGCTACTGCCTCCGCGCTAAGAATTCTTGTGGTCTTGATTATTTTTTGTATGAAGTTGAGGTCTAGTAGATAACCATATTGCAACATGAAAAGTTTAAAACGACAGCTTGCTATTGAAATTCGTTTAAAGAGTTAAGAATATTGTCAATAAACAAACTTACCGGCCTTAGGACAGAAACCATTGTAGCCAGTAGAAATGCGATTTTAGAACAAGTAAGTACAAACAGAAAGGGAAACACGTTTCTAGCTAGATTATTTACGTAACAATGTATTTAACTGCAATGAGTGCAACAACCGACACGCCCCTCCCGTTCCAACAGGTTCGATGTTGTATTTCGTCTAAATTCGACGAGACAAGGTTAGAAGAGGGGTAATATTTTGGCAATGTATTTTTTGTGATGTAAACCTATGATTGTAAAACTGTCTTTACGTAACAAAAATTTGGACGTGGCCCTTCCTTATTGGAAAAATTGGCGCTCCATGTTGGTAAACGGGCCTTTTCCGACAATCTAGTGGCTGGTGCCGCCCCTGTTGGTAGCTTCTATCAGCTTTCGTACCTTTTTCGCGACTCTCAAAGTTGGAGTATTTGCTTCAGGGAAGATTAAGTCAGCCTACGTTGCACTATCGAAGATTGACTTCAAAGAGAGCCAGACTTGATGAAATTGTCAAACCAGAAGGATATACAGCTTTATCAAAGTGCCCAAACCCCTTTCTTTGGGGTTAGAATATTATCACCCCCAAAATATAATGTCATTCTTTCCTTTCTTTACAAAAAATTACAAAAGATTTGATGCATACAAGGTAGAAGGGGTACAATCCCTTTTGAAAGCCGCAAAGAAGATAAAAAAGCCGATAGAGGCTACCAAGCATAAGAATGGCTGAATATGTATATGAGTCGCTAGTAAGTCTTTGTTCTCCTTTGACAGAGGAAGCATAAAAATAAGAACTTTAATTGCAACTATCCTGCAAATCTAAGCTATGCCCAAAATTGCAGAGTACAAAACTGATAATAATCATTGAGATCTACAAACTCCCAATGTCAGATTAGCACTGTCTGAAAACTTGAATTAACATCTTTTACAAAATGCACGACACAGACCCCTCCATCCAGGGGCGGATCTAGAGCAAATTTGAAGGAGAAGCAGTTGGTAGTAGGGCCGCTGAAAATTTTTCGAAAATTGATGACGAGAGTATGCTGTATACAACAATTTCAGATCCACTTTCGGAATAAACAACATAACTTTCAGGTAATCCTTGAAGCAAATTAACCTATCAGTCTCAGAAACTTTTTTAGCTGATTCTCAATCTTCAAAAGGGGCGCATAATTTCCAAAAAGGGGCGCCAAACTTGCTTCAACTCGTCGAAAGAGGGGCAACTGCCCCTAGTTGCCCCCCCCCTAAATCCGCCACTGCCTCCATCCAAACTTTCAGACCTTCAAAACGAGGTGAAATTGGAACTTGTAGCCTGTTCGGATTGCAGTCCACCTTGACAAGCAGTAATCGATTGGCCTGTTAAGCAATAACAGCAGAGCCAAATTTTCTCGCTCTGTTATCAACTCTTGGTCCGGAGAACGTTTTCACAGAATAACAGATGTTTTTTAATGGAAATACTTGCAACTGCAGATTGTGCAATGCTCTTGTTAAAGGTTTGGGAGTTTTTGTATGATTTTTAGCACATTTAAAGATGAAAAAATTGCAAACTGCATGCTAATTTTAATCTATTTATTGTTGGTGTTAATAAAGTGTTGATGTAATAACTGAAATTTAATTTTTTGGCTTACACAGCTCATTAGCGATAGATCTAAATTGTCAATATAAAGAATTAGTTGAAAATAAAAAAATCAACTAATTTGCGAAAGAGGTATAAAACATACCCCAAAATGGATTCACAATGAATAGAAAGGTGTATACTAAAACAAAGATTTTTCTGCAAAAAAGCGGATGTCCCAAAGTGTACCCTTACCATCTTCTAGGCAACTAGTGCCACTGCTGACCTTTTACCCCTGTTAGAATTTGAAAGTTAATATATTCAGAATGATGCAGATTTGGCCAAAATATTTTAAAGCTCTCTTTGTTTATTTTTTGGGAATATTTCCCTGCTTTAAACAAGTCCCAAACTCGACTTCTTTGTAGAGCAGCTTATTACTTACTGAGATTGTTCTGCATAAATATTGATAAAAAGTGAATTAAATACTCTACATTGATAATCTTTCAGAGCAACATGTCTCAGGGGCAGCTTGGGATGGCAATGAAAGTATTTGTTTAATACCTTTTTATTTCAAAGAAAGAGACCTTGGTTTCTCTTAGATCGCAAGAAATTTAGTTGGCTTTTTTATCCGCTGCCACTTTTTTACAACAATACCCTGAATCGATCATCTTTCAGAGAACCATATCTACAAAGGCTGGAGGCTAAACAAGGTTTGTGGCTATATGCATGACGCCTCATTGCTGAGTCGTAAAGATTTTATGTTCTGTATACAATGGGATCTTTTGGTTGCTTGAACTGGTGGCAGTTAAATACATTGTTACGTAAATTATCTTAATAGGAACATTTTTCCCTATCTGTTTGTACTTACTTGTTCTATAATCGCATTGCTGCTGGCTACAATGGTTCCTGTCCTAAGGCCGGTAAGTTTAATCATTGACAATATTTTCAAGTCTTTTGAACGATTTTCAATAGCAAGCTGCCGTTTTAAACTTTTTATGTTTCAATATGGTAATCTATTAGACCTTCATACAAACAAGAATCAAGACCACATGAAGCAAATTCTTAGCGGGGAGGCAGTAGTGGAACAAAGATAAGGGTTCCAAAATCCGAATCGACGCCCAAAACCTTGCAAAATTACTGCAAAGGATATTCAAAGTTTCTCTTTGCGAATGTTGTTGAGGTAAACCTTTCTGTTTTTGGAAGATGTTAAACAGTGTTCAAAATTGTAGGAAAGCAACGCAGAATTACAAAATAAATTTCAAACTTCCATCGTCAGAGATCGTCTCAAATCCAATTGTTGTTTCTTTTATATTCACCAGTTTTTCTTTTCATGAATATACATAGTTTGCGATGAAATAATCAATGAAAGTAGCGATTTGTAATAAATTTAAAAGTTTTCACAGAAGGAGTTGGTTTTCTCTCCTCCAGTGGTCATTAGGCACGCGGTGCTGATTGGACAACTAAACTATACCGGTCACGTTCTTGCATTTTTCTCATTGACATATTCTGGATCACGACAAGTAGGCCCGATAATAATACAGAGTGCAGCTTGTCTTGCCTTCAGACCAGCTCAAAAACCAGTAGATTTAAATGAAACTCTTCAGCGCCATCTTCTATCGAAAGTTATGAAAATAGCAAAACACTGTACTTATTACGTATCTGGTAAAAGAAATAAACCTTGGCCTGATCCAGATTTGATGGATTTCTTTATTATAATCGTTTCATTATAATGTCTATTCCAACTGTCAATTTAATTTTCAATTTGCAATTCCAAAGATGAGATGCCAATTGTACTCTGCCTAAGTATGCCTATGTGAGATGTAGCATTGTTGAAATGTTGAATTGAGAGGTCCCAATTATTATTGTCATTGGCATGGTACTATGAGATTTATTGACGTAATTGTGCAATTTAGTACATATATGTTCATGTTTTGAATGAGTAGGGTGTTTTATTTTAAGAAGGACAAGGTTTCTCGAGATGCAATTTTGCTCTCAGCAATCACGAAATTTTTTCCACAAATGAAATTTCGACAGTGGCATTATATATAAAAGTTTAAGGAATTTTTACGCATCTATTGTTTATCATTAATATGCGACGACTAAGTTTGCTTTCCGCTGATGTTGAAGCGAAGGTGCCTGCGCCATGGGGGGGGAGGGGGCAGCCAGGACGGTGACTCCCCTTGCCCCTCGTAAATTGAGCATTTTCTTCGTTTTCCTATTTTTAACTTTTTCTTGGCACTGTGCCCCTGCTGCTCTCTTCGTGTGCAGGCTTCCCTGCGTTGCAGCTAGTTAACTTTCAAAATATTTTCCAATAGATTTTAAATTAGCTGCCTTAGAGGGGCGAAAGCCCCTAAACACAGCTACTCACCCCTAATGGCTGCATGTATCAGTAAGATTTTGGAATAATTAAATAATTAATTTTAATCATGTTAAAGGAACAATATTCACATCTTCCTAGGGTTAAGTGTCTGTTTTTCCACTTGTAGATTAACTGAGAAGAAAAATTGGAGTTTTAAAAAGTTTTCATGACTATGGAGAAGGAAAAGCTCCTTAGCGGGGCAAGGTAATTTCATGCTTTTTTAATAAAGATTGATGGAATATGGTTTACAAAAGTCAGGATTATGGTTTCTTATCTCTTCTATTCTAAGAACTGTAAAATAGTTTTCCTTTTTTTCTGTAGATTTCCTCTTTCTCATTCATGCAATTTAAAGAAAAACGAAAGATTTGATTTTTCACATAACTTTAAACATGGAAATCATGCAAACTATTTTGACTTGATTCTCACTTCAGAAACAAGTTAAAGCAAAATGCCAGCTAGTTAAAAGTCCTGAGGCATCTACATAGGCCACCTGAGTGGAAAATCTTACGCTGCACAGGCGTATTTCACCTTTTTTTGCTGTTGGCATATTTTGATTTCCATTGTCACGTGTTACGTAAAACTGCACACGCTGACTAATGACAGCAGGGCCCGCGCCACAGGGGGACCGGGATGGCCATGGCCCCCACTTTTTTGTGAAGAAAGTAATTTTAGAGCTGCATTAAAAGGAAGGAGAAGCATTGAACCCCTTCTTTTTATAGCCTTCCCCCAACTTTCAAATTCGTGGCACGGGCCCTGTACAGGCGAATCTTTCCAGCACAACGTAGTCTAAAAGGAAAGTTACGTTGTGAATAAAGCGATACACGGTATGATACGCGTTATTGTATTGCAGGGATACTGTGGCAAACGAAACCACAGATGATGAACAACACGAGACGCCTGAAGAGTACAAATCAAGATGGAGGACAATTAGAATCACTTACTTAACTCAGGCACTCAGTGCAATGGGTAAATGAAATTGGATTGAATTATTTTTTTACAAGTTGAAGTATTGTTATTGTATACCATGTCAGTATTGCTACCATTTTACATACATTTAATCCTTGTATAATATTATAAGAAAACCTTTCCTTGAAATTATTGAAAAAAATCTATTTTGAAGTGGAACTATTTTTCAATCAATCTTTGCATTTTGCTTTATAAATGATAGATGGTGCTTCTATTCAGAGATATTGGAATCACTTCAAAGATGGATTGGCACGGGCGGGAGGGGGTGGTATGTCTCAGGAAAAAGATCGTTAAATTTCGGAGGCACATGCCCCAGTTATAACGTCCCTGCATTTAGGTTTCTTGCATGCTTGTAATTAGAAACATATTCTCAATTATATAATCCTTAACGGCACATTATTTTTAGATCTTCCGTCTTATCTTTTCACAATTATTTCAACTACATTTCTACTTTTTTAGAATTTGAAATCATTTTACCATCAATTTGGCCTTATCTGCAAAAGGTAATCTTCCTCATTTTTCCCCAATCTATTGTATTTTATCAAAGAGATAACTGCAAAGGGGCCTGATTCAATGTGTGCAGCCTGTTTTAACTTATAATTTGTTATCAAGCTTAGCTTGACTTAATTAAATTAAAATATTTGGTCGTTGTAATATTTTCTCTATATTGGGTGCCAGAGTCTTTTGCAATAAATGCGAATGTCCTTTGCAAGAATCTCGTCGCACCCCCCCCCCCTCTTTCTCACAGCATAAAGGTACGCCAACGATACCCTGTGTGTCAGAGCCACAGAGAATCAAATGATGAAGAACGGAGCGAAGGAGAATGGGAGGAGAACGAAGATTCCATAGAAGTTTCGTCTCTCCTTTCCTCTCCCGTTCTCCTTCGCAATTCCTATCCCTATTCTTCATTCTTTGATTCTCTGTGGCTTTAACACCCAGAATACGCCAACGAATGCATGTTCAATCTAGAACGTAGTACGTAGAATGTAACGTACAGTGGATTGAAGGACGTGGCATAGAGGACTTAGATGGTCCGACGTATCCTAAAATATGAATGCATTTAAACAAAATTCTGCTTCAATTTTGTAGGTTGACCAAGACGTCAATGCTCAGTTTCTGGGTTTGGTAGTTAGTGGTTACAGCATTTTTCAGATTATTGGTGCCATTTTGTTTGGTGCTTGGTGCAGGTACCGTCCAGCTATCGAGCCATTGTTGGCAAGCGCTTCGCTTCGCTTTATTGGGCATTTCTTGTACCTGTGTGCTGAAAACTATCCTGGTTTTGATGGAAAAATGTTGATTTTGTTGGCAAGGCTCATTGTTGGTTTTTCAGCAGGTAAAAGCTACTTCACTTATATTTGCATTTGATCGTTAAATTATTTTTATTATAGGTTTTTAATCTGAGATTTGATCTTAAAGTAGGTTAGCGATTTGGTATTTGCACTATCATTAATTTCATCCCTACGCGAACCAACATTAGAGTTCTTTACTGATGACGTCATAGTAATCTTTTTTTAGAATTTTTAATTTGATCCTATGGCCTGAAAGAGCATTATTAAAAACCTCTAAATGTGCAAAATCAGTCAAATGAGTTATGAATTGGCTGAGATATGGCCACATGTGTATTGGCTCTTTCCCCATCAAACCTCTGTATTTTGGTGATTCGTTAGCAAACTTCAAATCTTTCATAGGTAATATCCCAACCGATTTTAGACATAGTTGGCCAATATTTGAAAGTATTTCGTGGTGATCTTTTATATAATGTGGCCAAAATTCAAAAATTCTAAAAATAGGTTTTAGTGAAGTCAGAACTCTATTAGTGTTGGTGTATCATTGCGCAGCATTCATTGGAAGGCCACGCGTCACAAAAATTCAGCTTTAAACCACCATCCTCCCACCCCGCCCTTTCTTCCCCATCTGATGTTTGGATAGACATCACAATTTATTTTGCCAGGAGATGTAGCTGTTTGTCGTACTGTGGCTTCCCAGTCAACTGCGAAAAACGAGAAGAACAATGCATTGAAAGTCCTGGTTGCATTGGAACAATTTGGAGCTGCAATGGGTCCAGGTGGGTAGATCATACTTCTCTTTGACTGTTTTAGGTTGCGTTACCGAATTTGAAAAGTCATTTGAAAGAAGTTTCTCTAAGTTAGATCAGACTGATCGTATTTGTTAATCCTGTCAGGTCCACTGCACGTAACGATGCAGTGTCTAAGGATCACATGTGTTGCGTAAATATGCCTAAAGACTCAACGGCTATTGCCCCCCCCCCATTCTAAATAATGGGTGGATTTCTTGGGAAGGGGGAGTTTAAAATTAGTTTTTACCAATAACAAACCTTTTCAGCACACAGCAAGTTAAAACATTAATCGTTAAGGAACTAATGGATCAACCAAGGAGCTGTCTATTGAGTGTGATGCAAAAGTAATTTTAATGTCATATTTTTTGTTGTTATTAATGCTTTAAGCTTGACCACAATTATTACTGTTTGCTTCGTTGGAGATTTCTTCGATATTAGCCCAAATAATGAAGATAGTTCACGAAAGATCATTTATGCCGAAAGCTGAATGCTTTTTTTGCCAAGCACTCATGACATCGTGAATCATGAAAGCATAAATGCATTATATGTGAAATATGTAACACTACCTACAAAAAACAATTTTTGCGTTTTCAGAAAAGTTAGTTTTTTGCCATCTAAGTTTTTGGCCATCGCAAGTTGAAACGCCATCAAAAGTATTTTCTGAGGAACAGCATAGGAACTTTTCATGAGGTTCTTTTCAAACTTGTCGGCAAATAGGCCTTAGACACCTACCTTATGAGCAAAACAGCTAGTGACAGCCCTCTCCTCAATTATTTTAGGTGGGTATTCAAAATTTGTAATGCTTTAAAGAAAGCAGTCTACGTATCTGTTCTTTATGCCGGCGCGCAACTGCGAGGAGTCATGGGGGTCTAGCCCCCTACAATTTTTCTCTAAAGCGGATAAATACCCTCTTTCTTGGAAAATTGCTTGAATATTTGGTTATCACGCTAAAAAGGAAGGTCATAAATGACACATGTAATTGACCTCGCAGAAATACAGAAAAATGATTTGGTCTGACTTTCATGCACTTGTTTGGTCATAAGTCATCATGTTGCAGTAATAGTCTATCTTCAAGCCCCAACTCTACAGCGTGTTTTATGATACGCTGCGCACTGGCTTTGAAGAAGGATGGTTCTGGGACTCAAAAACCAAAATAAAGGCACAATACATTGAACGGAATAGGGCCTCTACGACCACTGGTAAAAAAGTTACAAGAAAGAAACCAAGACATTTTTCAAGCCTGTCATATAGTTGACAGGGTCATAGAGAACCTTTGCATGAAACGAGCGAATGTAGAGAAATATTCGCGGACTGGTATTAGCAAGCAGTAAAGATGGCACAATGAGTTGATGTTCAGCTGTTCCATTCCTTGTCGGTATTACAAATCAACTGAAATCAAGACTTGGGGACAGAACCAGCTGAAGTCAATGCTCGTGGAACTGTTACACCTCCTCCCATCTGTAGTGCGAAGCAAAGAATTCAATAATAACATGTTAAAGAGCAAAATGTCTTCGGATATGGAAAATGATGGGCTGCTTTTCAAAAGTGAGCTGGCACTGGGAAAAGAAGATGGCAACAGGGCCGACGAGAGGGGGCAAGAGGGGTGAATTGCCCTGGGCCTCGAGGTCTAGGGGGCCTCATAAAGTCATGGATTCCGTTTTAAAATGGAATTTATCAAAAGTAACAAAATTACACTTAAAAAGTAAAACATTTTAAATTGATGAATGTAAGGGTGTGGTCAGAAATATTTTTGCTCGCTTCGCTTGCAGGAGGTCTCCTCTTTTCCAAATTCTCTTTTGGGCCTCCTAAAGCTTTCAGCGGCTCTGGATGGCAGACAGAAAGAAGAAGTCCGCTGAGATTGGAGAAAATAGACGAAGCCATGTACATAGTTAACATGAAAAGGAATAAAATACAGACTCATACATCACAATTTTTTCTCTTTTGATCAGTTTTCCTTGATGGCGTACAATATTTACAGGTTTAGTAACAGCTCATATTTTCAGAAACTACGCTTAAGCAACGCAGACCAAACTTCTAAATACTTTTAAACAGCGTCTATTAGGGAATGGTATATGCTATTAATATAATAGAAATTTCACTTAGGCAACGAAGTTGTTATTGCTGCAATTTGACAGGTGTTTTAGTTTTCATTCAAGATACGGGATTAATATATATATTGAATTAGGAGCTTTCGATTTAAACAGCCTCAGCCCAATCGAGGCGAGAAAGCTAATTTCGAACTTTTTCCTTTTTCAGCTTTGCAAGCTGTAGCCGTACCCCTGCTTGGCAAAGGACTACATTATTCGTTTGTGAATATTGACATTTTCAACATTGCTGGATGGATCGGAATAGTGACGACAGTTTTCAGAATATTCATCACTCTTATCTGGTTCAAAGAACACAACATTGATGTGAAAGACAGCACAGGCAATATCTCATATCCTTTTCCTTGTAATATCATGCAGTATATTACAAAATCTTAAGATATTTCATATTCCCCATTCCTTTTCCGAATGAATTTTTTTAAAGAGTATAACGTGCATTTTAAGTACGCAGTGAATTTTAATTTTTGCAAATGATGAAAGACAAATAGAGAAAAATGATTTCTATATCTTTCGGTTTGTTTCAATCTTTTGTTGGAAAGAGGCTTCTGAATGATGGTGAATCTGTATCCCGTATGCTGTTTTTAAACAAAACTGGTTTAAGCAAGTGGAAACACTACAAAGAGAGTGTATTTCTGCTTCTCGTAGTTATATTTAACTTGAAAAATAATAGGTCTCTACTTGTGTTTATTCAGTTCCAACGTTGGTCACCTGATAATAAGGGTGAAAAAGACAGAAGTCTAGACCAACGGCTTAATCAGCCTGGATGCACTTGCCACAGGTTTCTTATCTTCTTGGTTCGAATCATACATCAAAACTATTCTTTTGTATTTTCATATATACTGTGTTTCAATTCTAGGTGATCTTCCAAAGCCTAACATGCGTGCTGCTTTGGTTACGATAATAGCCTTTTTCATCCTTTATTGTGATGTTTCAATGATTGAAACGTAAGCTGAAGTTTATATTCAACTGAATTTCAATAATAATTTTACCATTCTGGTAGCATAAGCAATGCGTGTACAATTGGTGTTTTTCTAATGAAAGGACTAGTTGCAAAGGGGAACGTGTTGGTCAGTGGCATGGTGGCAGGGGGGCAGGGGGCCATGGCTCCCCTGAATATGGGCGAAAATAGAGACAAGGGGGCGCCGAAATTGTTTGCTTGTAATATTTGGCTAGGAACATCAAAACTGATCGGTAGGTAGAGCACTTCGCTGTAACTTGCTGTGAACAATCTAATTAAAGGTGCGATTCTACAATCGAAGCACGTTGTTGCGTTGCCATGACCCAATCAACATTTGTGTCAAATGTTTTCGTGTTAACTATGTACGTGGGTTCATGTTTAGCACGCCAACTAACGAAGATTCACGTATGCCAAAAATGTTTTCTATAAGTTTGCAGTCGGAACGCCAAATAAACCTGAGTGTACGCCGAAGATCTTCGGGCCAAGTACATGAAATGCACCCTGGCAATCAATGCAGCAGCTTCTTGTTCTTTAAATCGATGTGCACTCTGAACCAAAGTCACCCTTTCTTTCTTTCCCCAACGCATCCTCCTCTCCCAATTTTTTTCTAAAAATCAATAATCAATGTTTTTTCTAGGCATCGTCGCGACGAATTGTCTATTCTGAGCGGTATGGTAATTTGTTAAGTTTTAGTCTAGGAGGTTCCTTTTTTAGCCATTCTAGAAGGCTTGATTCAAAAATTTTCTTGCGCGTTGGACCCAACCATACCCGGTCCTCCTATGTCATCAAACTTGATTTTTAGCCACTTCCCCCCCCCCTTACATTCAATTTCGTGGCGCCGTCTCTGTCCGATTCAATAGTGGGATTAAATGCTTGAAACCTTAATTTTGTTGAAAGAACTACGATTTAATTACTACTAAAGAATAACAAACTTGAGCCATGTTTGTATATCATACTTAAACAATATGATGACATTAGGCTGATAAAATCGCCCATAAGCAGTGCGCGTAATGGACTAAGGTTACCTTTAATTGATAATCAAAAGCTAAGGAGCTCAAAACAAAAATTTGCTTTACGTTATTTTACACTGAAGCTGGTATTCTGGATATAATAAACGAGTTAAAGGGGCCGCCAGCCTGTATGAAACATCAGTGTAATTGAATAGTATGTCTTTTGATTAGTTTTTTATGTTTTATCTGCCGTAATTCATCGAAAATAGGCCAACTCTCGAAAATTAGCCAATTGGTTTATTCCGTCTATTGACAGTGAATCCTACATAACCGAAAAAAAATTCCACGAACACCTGAAAAAATATGATTAATACAACTTTTGATTTTCCATTTAGACAGGTGCATGACCTTAGTAGTTACTAGCATCGAGCACCACTTGTGATACCAGTAAGCAGTCACCGTCTCTTCAAAGTGATATTTTTCGCTATTTCGTGTCATTTATAGTTATACAAAGTTAAATAATAGCAAACTACGCAAGACGATTGTGTTTGTTGTATGTGTGTTAATTTTTTTTGTTTTTACCAAGCATTTGAAGATCACTGATCAGAAGGAGCACTGAGACCCTTCGCTACCTAACACTGTTCATGGTCCGACTTAACTGAATTCAACTGTATTGCAAAGTTCTTACTCAGCAGCAAACAAATCATATTTGAATTTCTTTATTTTCTAATAAAATTTCAAGGCAATTGCATTACACCTCTCTTATAATTGTTTTATTCTCTACCTCATTCTCTACCTCAATTGCATTACACCTCTCTTATAATTGTTATATGGAAGATAATGTATTTATTCATTTTATTCAATCATTTGAATGTTTAGTGTTTATTGCTTCTTTTTCGTTCATCCCAGTATGACAAGTCCATTGCTTGCAGACGAGTTTGCCCTGCGAAAAGACGAAGCAGTTCTGTACGCAGGGATAGCCCTGTCTTCATTAAGTATAATCATCTTGGCAGCTTACATCATCATCAGACGTATACAAAACAGGTTCATATCCTTTAGTTATTTGCTTATGCCTTAGCCTCATTCTAAAAGAAAGCTAGTTATATATGGGTGATCGTCAAGGATGTCAAAAGTATTTCAAACTTGAAGGGGCCTAGGGGAGATGTGGCAATAGGTCGCAGAGAAGGGGTCATTTTCCAAGACTTCTTCAAACTAACCTCTTAGGAAAAGCTGGGAGCACGTTCCTCAAGTGATGGCGTCCTGTTTTGGATAGAGATTTTGAAATCATCAAGGGCCAAATACCGGAATACCAATCATGCTAGTTGTATGTGCCCTTATTCAGATCAGCCCAGAGCCTCTTTCTTTTCCCTCCTCCTGATCACTCATTCTTTGCCACCGCAGTTGTCTACAATACTTTGTCCTCGAATTCATGAGACTCTGGTACCCAGGGTAATTCCTTAACTTCAAAGACACATCTCAATTGTTTCAAGCTATGGAAGCAAAGTTCTATATGTCACAGTTGGCTTTCTTGTATTTGTTTCGAAGGCTTAGGTCTGTGTTGTGAGAGCGGGATTGCCCAACCATTATTACTGACATTTCGCAGCTTAATCAAAGCACATATTTTACTTAAAAGAAATTTCTTATAATTTTAGTATAGGCAACAAAAGCTCAACTGATTTGTATGCATTAATCAGACCTTAATACAAAACATTAAAAAAATCTGTTATTTTTCTTAGATTTCGCGAAAGGACCATTCTTTTTGTCGGGTTCGTCGTCTTGCTCCTGGCATTTGTTGTCTTCTTGCCTTGGGGAAGTGAACGCCATAAACTTCAAACGAAAGGTGAGTTCACAGAGCATGTACCTTGTCTACACAAAAACAGGACCAGAATACATTTGAATACTATCAAAGGTTCTTACAAAGGATCCAATCCAAAACCTATTACAAAACCAGGATCGGACAAAGTTGAGATCTATTAGTGACATGTATTCGCATTTTAAACTTTTTTAGCAACGCTGCATTTAGAGAGAACGTGAAAAACGATTTATCAGAAGCAATATACTCTCAACGGAAAGCACAATTCACCAAAATGTTTGGAAAAAAAGAATTTCCACCCTGCGTAAGGATCTTTGCTAATAAAGCACATCTGGACCTGAAACGGCTGTCTCAACCCAAATCAGGAAAAATCTTAACAAGGGGGTTCTGCCCACTGCACTCAGCCCCCCTCCCCCCACGAATTACTACTAGGAACGAACAGTTTCTATATAATAGGAAGGCCACGTATTCACTCTCCTGTAAACAGGGTCATGTTGAAGCAAAAAGGTTAAACAATCACATTTTTGTACGTCTGTTGTGTCCGGTTATAAAAATATTTCTAGAGAGATTTCTGTTTATTAATTATTTGCTAAATTTTTATCAAATGTTATGCTCGGTGTTCACCTTTCATTGCATTGTTCGTTTCTTTACAAAGAAATTACTATAATATTAGTATTTTTAACTTATGAAATTACTTACCACTTTAAACAAACATATGCGCTACATTTTACGATATGAATTTTTGTAACTTTTATTCTTTTCTTTTTTTGTAGATCTAAACAAATTTTGGTTTTTCTTTTCAGAAGTAGTTATTGTTGGAAATGTTCCAAAGATAATACTGTCTCTCGGTTGCCCAATCAAGTACAATTGGTGCAAAACCACGCCCAAGATACACCCAATTCAATTTGCTGTTGGGATATTCCTTGGATTCGTTGGCTTTGTTATGCCCCAGATTATCATCAATCTACTATACTCGAAAATAATTGGACCAAGGAAACAGGTGAGACGGAACTTCATTTAGCTTACTTTCATAAAGGATATATACTACAGTTTGGCAATTATTAGGAGGGCACTGTATTTATCAGCTGCATTGTTTAAACTAAATACCGATGACATCATGATATCATATGATATCATAACGTATTTACTTCAATATCTTACAGCGTAAGTCTCCATTTCACACACTATTCTTCAGCCGTTCCTTGAAAATTCAGACCAATATTGAATGATAGCGTGCACTATCGTGTAAACGGGCCCTTGCATTGATAGAAGAAAAATTTCAGGTATCACTTCAGAGACCCTTTTCCTTACAAAATTACAAAGTTTCTCATCTCATCTCAATTGTTTTATTTTTAATTAGGGTTTGTACATGGCCTTCTTCAGCTGTGCTGGCTCACTTGGAGATTTTGCCGGACCACTGGTAACGACTTCATTGTATGCACATTTTGGACCAAGAGGATTGTTTCTTTGTGCAGCGATTGTAAACTTGATAACTGCTACGATGATTGCAGGTTTCCAAACAATATTAGTTCCATTCGAAGAATATGTTAAAGTACCTATCGCTGATGAATGATAATTTTAGTATATTAAACAATATCATTGGGTTATAATTTTTTAGAGACTAAATCATGCACTGTCTATGTAAAGATTTGACTTACCTGAGTCTCGGAAATGTCAAACTTTGAGAGCTAATCATTTTTGGGCTATTTCTTGGAAAAACCAGATCTAAAAGGCAAACATTGTCTTCCATTTACCTTTTATGGAACGCTTTCTGAACTCTGTATAAAATGCGGATGGCCGTCTTACACGATCTGAAGTTTCATCTTGAGCATATGTATTACATTTGTCTATTTGTTGTAAGTCTTAAATATTTTTAGGTTAGAACGTATGGAAAAATCTGCAAACATTGCTAAATATTTAAGCTTATACAACCAGAGGTGAATCTTCACTATGAAGCTTAGATGCCCGACGAAAGGGCGTGTCATGCTAGATGAAAGGGCGTGTCATGATTGAACATCCTTGTTAGGGCACATCGCCTCAAGGGTTGAAAACATCGGTGACCCCGAAACAGGGTCACTAAATATGTCACTAAGTATAATATCCCTTATTTTATTTGGCCATTGTTCTTGCAGGTGTCATTTTAGTAATACAACAATACATTATTACATGGTGATAATTGTCATTTTGCTATCGATTGTTTTCAGAAGAAAATCTCCTTTGACCCCAAGAAAGAATCATCACGAAAGAATACAGATTTTTCACATTTTCCGACCCTCCCCCCACTTACTAGGATCCCCCGCTTATTTATTATTTGAAAAATTTTTGTGCACCAACCCCCCCCCCCCTCCCATCTATCAAGACCCTCCCTTCTTTTAAGGACCTTAGAGTACGCAGACAACAATGTTTCAACAAAAAAGAGCTTCAGCTGCATTTTCTGAGTTTGATTTTCAACATTCGGTTGCTCCGTAAGGAATTTAAACATTTTCGACACCCAAGCACAGAGAAAGTATCTCTGAATTCACCATAACAAAATCCCTCGAGCAAATAAAAGCTTTTTTGGAAATATTTTACAGGTAGACCTATCATCAAAGCTCAATTTTCGTGTTTTCATAATCATGGATACTGTTCAGAAATAGAAGGCATTCGAAATTTTTTTGAGATTCATTTCTTACTTACAATTCCTTGATAAATTTTCTATAATTTCCCGCTTGAACTGTCGGCTTAAACTTTCTGTTACTTGTTACAGCTATTTGAAATTTTTTAGTTACAAAACTTTGGCGGCTGTACGGCCATTATTTGGTGAGGGGTGCAATAATCTAAGTGAATTTTGGAGCATATCTTCTTATGAATATATGATGAAAGTTTGATACATTTGGAAAAGAAAATGTTGCTTGATTTTTCTCAACAACTTATTTCGAGATGGCATATCCTTCATGCTTTGATTTATGATGCTTCTAAAATTGTCAGTGTTCCATGGGCTCCAACGCATGATGTAAAGTGGGGGAGGAGGGTCAAGGGAAAATTTAGTAATCATAACAAAAGATTTTGAAAAAGATCTCTTGTTTTGCAAAAGTGGGGGGAGGGCATGCCATGTGTTCATTTTCTTCTTGCATCAAACCAATTTTCTCTCCGTCTATACTTTCGCTGTCGATCAATACTTCAGACTCTACGTCCGCATTTCGAGGCGAAGATAAACATGTGCACGTCGAGCTCGAGACAAAAGCGCTGATCAGTGGACGAAAGACAGAAATGTATACATGTTGCTGTTGCTTGCCTCGTTTCTGTTTTGTTTTCCCAACTGGGCGGAGATTTTAAAGAAGGTTGGGGGGGGGGGAGACCATAAATTCAAAAACCAAGCTAGGGTAAAAAGTAGCAATAAAAGTGCGACCTAAAGAAAATTTCCAGATTTGCCCGATAGACATACTGGCAGCCATAAATTTTCCCGGCAAAATCTGCTTCTTTGAAGATTGGGGGTGGGATGCAGCACCCCCATACCCCCAGTAGTTTCGCACCTGTATGCAAAAAAATTTTCTTCAGATTGGGACATAATCTCTCAGCTTTTTCTTCCTAACATTTCATAAAATTTCAGTAAATCAAAACTCCTTGCAGGCTCCCAATAATTTTATGAAGTGGTGCCTAATCTGGACATTTACCGCCAAGCCCAAAATTGCATAAGTACTGATAAAAAAATGAACAAATACCCACATTGATAACTTTTGACAGAGCCATGTACGTTTTAGGGTTTGTGGCTATATATTTGCACACCATTGCCAAGCCATGGTAATTTATAATGGGATTTATTGCATGCTTTCACTGACGGTCGCTGAATACATTGTTACGTAAATTATATGGCTAGAAACAATTTTCCCTGTTAGTGCTTTTTTGTTCTACTATCGCATTGCTACTGGCAAAAGAGACGGGCCCTGTCTTGAGGATGGTATCGGTAAGTCTGTTTATTGAAAATATTGTTAACTCTATCAAACGATTTTGTATTTGCAAACTCTCGACTTAAATGTTCATTTTGCAGCACGGTAATCTATTAGACCTTCATAGAAGCATTAATCAAGGCCACTCACAGCAAATTCTTTGCGCGAAGGCAGTAGTCGAACAAAGATAAGGGTTTCAAAATACAAATCAACGCCCAATACCTCGTTAAATGAAATTACTGCAAAGAATATAAGCAGTTACTCATCAAGAATGTTGCAGAGGTGAACCCCTCTGTAACCGTTTTTGGAAGAAGTTACACAATGTTCAAAACTTTGGGAAAGCAACGCAGATTAACCAGTTAATTTCAAACTTGCGTTGTCAGGGAACGTTTCAGTTCCAATTATTTTAATTACTTTGTGTGTCAGACGAAAAAGCTTTAAGTAGTATGTTGTGAAATGTTTGCTTTTTCAAAGCCATTTACCTTGTAATACACGCATTTTTATAAGAAACAGGTTATAAGAAACGGTAGGCTCAAATTTCGAAGTTAAGGAACAACCCTACCTAAATTTTGAAAAGCTAAGAAACTTTTATAATTTTCAGTTTCAATTTTCCGAGTTGACACTCGAAACAGTCTTGACATTGAATGTCACTGTATATCGCGACACTATACTTGACATGCAGTCTGCATCCATTCTCAGTAAATTGCACACTCAAGAAGGTTCCATTTAAAAATTTGTTTTGACTTCAACTTAACATTGGTGACTTCAATGAGCTTAACTGTTTATAGATCTCAACAGAGTTGGCATTCTAGGAAAACAAAATTTCTCGATCACTTTGTTAGTTTATCTCTGAATGTGAGTGATCTATTTACTTTACCTTGGAAGCACGTTTGAAAAATTCATTACCTAAGAAATTTAAGAAATATGTAAGAAACTGTTGATAACAAAATGGCCAGAAAATTTAAGAAACTGCCTACCAGCACCGGACTTTACTTTCTTATAAAAAAATACGCACAGTGAGATTTTAAATTAAAATTGAATTGAATTTTTTTTATTTTTACCACCTAACAGTGGCGTGTTGGCAGGGGCAAGGGGGCAATTTCCCCCCTGCTGATCAAATATCAGTGCACCAAAATGAAATTTCACATAGAAAGGCCGTCCAAGCCAAATAGCTAGTAAGCAATGAAAATTTACAGAAAAGAACTCAACAATACTTAAGGCGGCCATTGTATAACAATCCACGATAAGGCCTTCGAAGATAACAAGAATCACCTTGCAACACACCACCTCTTCTTTCTTACTAACTTGGATGCGCTTAACAACGATCGTCAAACACCATTTCAAGATCCCATGCTAAATCTAAATTATTTTTGTACAAATTAGATACCAGGGGCCTACTGAGGGGGGGGGGATTGCGGGGTGCTTTTGAGGAGCCCGCCGATAATTTTGGGTTTGGCAATAAAAGTTCAGATTTGGTTCCACGTCATTATTGGGAGCCTGCAAGGAGTTTTGATTCACTAAAATTTTAATAAAAGTTAGGAAGAAAAAGCTGAGAAATTATGTCCCAATCTGAAGAAAATTATATTGCATAAGCTTAAATATTTAACAACGTCGCCAAAAAATCGATTAAAATGTTTTCTGTAGAAGATTCCCAAAAAGCTAAGAGATATAGCGTGATCTGCCTACATTTTTAGCCTCGAAGCTTAAAAAAAAATCAGCGAGCTGCTGTCATATTATAGAATTGCCCTCTCAAAGATCTCCAGCTTAGCAAAAGTTGACGTCACGTGGGGGCATTTGGTGTGACTGAAGATCCCCTGCTTTTTAAGAGATGAAAATTTTGACCGTCTCTTTTATTATTTTAAAAACAGAGTATAAAAAAATAGAACAAACAGTTTATATACTGATTGATTATTTGATCTATTTACTAACTTATTTAGGTATATTTTTACTATTTCTCTATTATTTGCATCGATTCAATAGATAACTTTTTCGATCACTGCATTGTCCGCATTTTGGTGTGTAAACATGGCCTACTGAAAATACTCGAAACAAAGAAAATGATTCTGTTCAAGAATGAAAATTCTCTCAACCAATACAACAGCTTCTTGTTATTCACATCGATGTGCACTCTGAACCAAATTTGACCCTTTTCTTCTTCCCCGACGTCTGTCAAAAGAGTTTTAACATTACTCCTCCCCTCTCAAATTTTTCCTAAACATTAAGAATCAATGCTTTTCTGAGAATCGTCGAATTTTCTATTCTGAGCGGTATCGTAAATTTTAGTCTAGAAGATTCATTTTTAGCCATTATAAAAGGCCTAATTTCAAATATTTTCTCTCCCCTCGGGCCCAACCATGATGTCGCTAAACTGGATTCTTGGCTTCTCCTAGTTTCAATTTGGTGGCGCCATCTTTGTTGTTGTGTCACTACTATTAATGCCGTTTTACCCAACTGTCTTGCTTGCACTTTTGGAAATGGTTTTTCTGGGAAAAAGGGTTTTCTGGAAGGTATGGGCCCCTTTGTAGTTATTTTTCCCGGCCCTCTTCTAGGAGCCACAACGTCCCTGATTATTGCGATCGCTTGCTAGTTTCAAATTCCATAACTCAGTTTATTATAACTCAATTCGCGCGCTCGATTTATTACCAAAAAGGTGGCGGGGATCAAGAGCAGACTCGTGATTTCACGGAGACTCAAGCTCTTGCTTCAGTTATGTCTATGTTCGAGATGGAATCAAATGAATGTGAAAGATATTTTCATTGTGAAATAGCTGTAAACAAGTTAAAACCTTTGCACTTAAATGTTGAGCATACCTATATGCATAAAAACAAACCAACATGTGAGGGGAAAGGTATAGCTAGCTGTGGGCCTATGCCATCAAATCAACTTGCTAGGATATGTGGCAATATATCATTTTTTGCCTTGCTCTTTATATGACCTTAGGCCAGTGCCAGTGTTTCACAAACAGGGTTCGTTTCTGACAAGATCTATAAAACACTCGGTGTCCAACTCGATTTTTCCCCCCACAGCCTTGTCGATATCGACGTAAGCATTTGGAACATTATTTAAATTGGTATCTTCTTGAGTGAATAATGTTTCATTCGCAATATTTTCTCCGCTAAGACCAGCAGGATTGGCTGCGAGAACAAGTTGCTCCATTTTTATTTACGACGCCATGTTGACTTATTTACGACTGTCATCTGAAAACTTTTTATTGTTTTTGTGTTGAACAGACTCATCTTGGCGCGGTTTTTAAGGATTTTGATTGGCTAGTGATAATCCATTCAGGCGATAGATCACAAAAAGTAGAATGGACTTAAATTTTTTTGTGCGATCGCGCGCTTCAACCGAGCGCATAAAAACATTGTTGCACGCATGCGCATTTATGTAAGCGATCGCTGAAAGTCGCGCGCGCGACAAAAACCACTGAGTGGAAATCAGCGTTCATAAAAGTTAGGTGTAGAATTGTATTTCTTTAATGATATATTGAATAAAAAGAATCCCCCATTATCAATGTCATTGACATGGTACCATTAGAATATTTTTTATATTTGTGCAATTTAGTATGTTCATGTTTTGAATGAATTAGGGAAATGTTTACTTGGCTGCATTTATTCGAGAAGGACATGATTTTTCAACGAGCAACTTTGCACTAAGCAATCAAAAGTTTTCCTCTAAAAATGAAATGTTGGCATTGGCAGTGAATTTGAAATTTATGGAATTTGCATGAATCAATTTTGTATCATGTTTATGCGAAGACTACGTTATGCTACGTTTATGCGAAGACTACGCTTCCCTAAATGTTGCAGCTATTTACTTTTCAAAATATTTTCCGATAGATTTTGAATTAGGTGCCTTATGGGAACTATAACCTCTTTGAACTACATTGTCTATGCTAAAGGGTCTGTTTCCTCAATTTGTAGATAAACTGAAAAGAAAAATTTGGAAAAGAATGGGATTTGATGGCTCAAATATGGAGAAGAAAATGCTCCTTAACAAGACAAGGTAATTTGACAAATTTAAATGGAAATTTATGGATTATGGTTCACAAAAATTGGCATTGTGATTTCTAACCTCTTCTTTTCTACAAACTGTAAAATAGTTTTTCTTTTGCCCATCCCCTTTTCAGAAAAACAAATGATTTTATTTTTCACATAACTTTGAACATGAAAATCACGCAAATACCATTGCTTTTTAAACAAAAAAATTGTGACCTGACTTACACCTCAGAAACAAGTTAAAGCAAATTGCCTACTAGTTAAAAAGCCCGAGGCATCTATATAGGCCACCTGAGTGGAAGGTCTTACGCTGCACAGGCGCATTTCACCTTTTTTTGATATTTTCTTATTTTGAATTTCATTGTCACGTGCTACGTGAAACTGGGTGAAATGTATTGCAGGGACAGTGTGGGAAACGAAACAAAACATGATGATCAACACGAGACGCCTGCTGATTACGAATCAAGATGGAGGACAATCAGAATCGTTTACTTAACTATGGCACTCTCTGCAATGGGTAAATTAAATTGAATTGAATTTTATTTTTCAAGTTGAAGTATTTATGGTGTACCCCAATACAGTACTGATTCCACTATACATACATTAAGTCCTTGTAAAATATTGTTCGAAAACCTCTGCTTGAAATTTTTGAAAAAAGCTATATGTTTTCAAATCTGTATTTTTGATCTGTTAGTTGGTAATATTTGCCTATTTTCGATCAACTGTTGCATTTTGCTTAAAAATGATATATGACGTTTCTATTCAGAGATATTGTAATCACTACAAAGATTGATTGACACAGGCGGGAAAGGGTGCTATGTCTCAGAAAAAAGATCGCTGAAATTCGTAGGCATATGTCCCGGTTGAAACGTCCCTGCATTTAGGTTTCTTGCATGCATGTAATTAGACACATGTTCACAATAATATAATCCTCAACAGCACATTAATTTTGAATCTTCCATCTTATCCTTGCACAAATATTTCAACTATATTTCTCCTTATTTAGAATTTTCAATCATTTTACCATCAGTTTGGCCTTATCTGCAAAAGGTAATTTTCCTCATTTTTCCATAATCTATTGCATAGTTTCTACATAGTGGGTGCCCGAGTCCCAATAATTTAGTTTTAAAAATATGTGAAATTTTTATCAAGTTAGTGTATTTCTTAGGGCTTTGGTAAGGCGCATTAAATGATTATTTAGGGGCTAAGCCATCCAGTCTCTCCCTTCGATGGTACTCATAATATGTCATATTTTCACAATTCCTCTGGCCATCAACGATTGATAGTAATGTCCCAGATTTTCGAATTTACAAAGTTATTCAACAATAGAGGCCAACGTCTTTCGCATCGCTCTCACCACAACCCCCCTCCCCCCCCCCATTCGCAAAAGGTAAATTTCCTGTGATACGTCAACGATACCCTGGGCGTCAGAGCCTCAAACTGTCAAATGATGAAGAAGAGGGGAAAGGAATTTGCGAAGGAGGATGGGAAAGTAACGATGATTCCATAGCCTCCGCCACCAAGGATACGCCAACGAATGCATGTTCAATCTAGGACGTAGTACGTAGAATGTAACATACAGTGGATTGTAGGACGTGGCATACTGGACTTAGATTGTACAACGTATCATAAATTATGAATGCATTTAAACAAATATCTGCTTCAATTTTGTAGGTTGACCAAGAAGTCAATGCTCAGTTTCTGGGTTTGGTAGTTAGTGGTTACAGCATTTTTCAGGTTATTGGTGCCATTATGTTTGGTGCTTGGTGCCAGTACCGTCCAGCTATCAAGCCACTGTTGGCAAGCGCTTCTCTTCGCTTTATTGGGAATGTCTTTTACGTATGTGCAGAAAACTTTCCTGGTTTTGATGGGAAAATGCTGATACTATTTGCAAGGCTCATTGTTGGTTTTTCAGCAGGTAAAATTCAACCTCGATCATATCTTTGTTATTTCTGATCTGAGAATTTATCTGTAGTAGAACAGCAAATTGGTAGTTACTTTGTCAATATTTTGATTCCAATGCTAACCTACACTTATTGCAGGTATACTACTGCGCAGCATTTAATAGAATGCCATTGAAGATCACACCAAACAAAAATTCAGCTTCAATCTTGCCCATCTGATGTTCCTTCGATAAACACCACTACCGTAAATCCTCAAATTAGCCCTGGGGGCTTATATATTTTTTATATTTTTGGATGGGGGCTTATTCGAGGGGGGCTTATACAAGGGGGGAGGGCTTATAAAATCCTTGTTAACATTTAGAAGACATTACCAAAAGACCTCGTTTATTTTAGTAGGAATTTCTTTATGAGAATTCAATTGAATGCTACCAAAAGTGTGAATTTGCTGTGGTAATTCAATAAAACGCCAACCTCAGATGGCAAAAAACATCAAATTGAGGGGTCCAATTCGAGAATTTACGGTAGCAGTGGGGGCTTATTCGAGGGGGGGGCTTATTGACAATTTGTAATTCTAGGGTGGGGGTTTAATCGAGGGGGGCTTTTTCGAGGGGGGGAGGCAATTCGAGGATTTACGAGTATGTATTTTCCCAGGAGATATAGCTGTTTGTCGCGCTGTGACATCCCAGTCAACTGCAAAAAACGAGAAGAACAATGCATTGAAAGTCATGGTTGCAGTGAAAGAATTTGGAGCTGCAATGGGTCCAGGTGGGTTTCTCTGTGAATGTTATTTTTAGATCTACCGAATTTTAAAGCTAATTTCAAATGAAATCCTCTAAGCTGAATCAAACATCGCTTTATTCCACTCATCAGAATATTAAGCTTTTTAAGGGAACTTTTTAATGATTGGCTTTCTATACGCTGGGTACCAGAGCCTAATAATAGGGATAAAGTATTGTAGACAGCTGCACTGGCAAAGGAGTGGATGCGGAGAAGGGAAAGGAATTCCAATCCTTGCTCAAACAATTTTTCTGTGACTTGTTTTTATTTCTGAGATATTCTATTTCTGAATATGTGAGACGCTGGTACCAATGGTAGTCTTGCTCGCTCAGCCAAGTAAGATATCAAGCGTTAGTGATGACTTCACCGCCCTATAAATCCTACGGAGACCGAACGGCTAAATGCTTTTAAACAACATCTACTAGGGAATGGTATATGCTATTAATATACGAAAGCATTCCAATAAGGCGACGAAGTTGTTGTTTCTGCGATTTGACAGGGATCTAGATTGGATAAAACTAGGAACAAAATCCTTTTTGCGCTTTCGATTTAATCAAGGCAAGAAAGCTAATTACCGAGCTTCTCATTTTTCAGCTCTACAAGCTGTAGCCGTACCCCTGCTGGGTAAAGGCCTACATTATTCTTTTGTGAATATTGACATTTTCAACATTGCTGGATGGATCGGAATAGTGATGGCAGTTTTCAGAATAATCATCACTCTTATCTGGTTCAAAGAGCACAACATTGATGTAAAAGATAACACAGGCAATATCTCATATCCTTTTCCTTTTCATATCACGCAGTGTAATATATTTAGCTACTCACAAATATATAAAGTAGGTAAGAATGCTCGCATGGAGCATCGAATTTTTCATTATTTTCATCGCGCAATGAATTTTTGTAAATTGTGAAAACAAATGAAGAAATAGACCATAAATGTTTTGCATTGTTTCAATCATTTATTGAAAAAGGGACTTCTGAGTTTATTGAAGGTAAATCTTATTTCTGTACACTTTCTTAAAACAAAACTGATTTAAGGAAGTGGGATCGCTAAAAAGAGTGTGTATCTCTGTATCGCGTAGTTGTATTTACTAGGGTAAATAATACTGTGTTTCAATTCTAGGTGATCTTCCAAAGCCGAACCTGCGTGCCGCTTTGGTTATAACAATCGTCTTTTTTGTCCTTTATTGTGATGTTTCGATTATTGAAACGTAAGCTGAAGTTAATATCCAACTAATTAAAATTTCAATTTTACCATTCTGGTATCATAAGAAATGGGCGTAGAAACGTTGTGACAAAGTCAAAGAAAGACAAAAAGATCGTGAGAGAGGGTGGGTCATATTAGAAAAAAAGATGCAAATTGACGGTGCAGGGGAAAGGGGGCTAGAGAATGAATAAGAGGGTCGAGTGTCAAAATTAAAGTAGAGGTCAGTAAAAGATGCAAAAAAGGACAAGAGTAGAGAAACCATTTGCATGTGAGAAGCAAAAGCTATCTATTCACATAGATTGGAAAGTATTCAATCAATGTAAACGGCTTCCAAAACTACCTCATTAGCTCAATGTTGTTCAAATTTTCGTCACTTTTGTAAGATGCATTCAAGATATGCTGATCTTTGGCCAAATCTCAATTTATTTCCTTTTTCTCTTGTTTAAAACACTGCAAGTTCTATTTCTGTAACCGTGTTTTGATCGATGATCGATTTTGATGTAACCGTTTCATCCTGTTCAATAGCACCCCAGCAGTGCGTCTTACAAAAGAGGTACAAAATTTGATTGATAAGATTTTGATATTTCTTAAAATTGGGGGCATAATCTTAGTAGATATAAGCTAACACAACATAAGATACCTGTGATATTTTTTGGTATTTCGTGTCATTTATAATTATACAGAGTTAAGGTGGTTGCCCCCCCCCCCACAATATTTTGGTCAAAAGACAATGACCTTTTGTTCTAAACCCATGGGGGCAATGTGAAGTCATCTTCCGTCCGCTCCTGATTGTGTGTGTGATATTGTGTTAATTTGTATTTGTTTTTAGTTTTATCAGGGAATACTGAGACCCTGCTGTCAGGGAATACTGAGACCCTTTGCTACATAACACTGTTTATATAGGTCTTATTTTACTGAATTTCACTGTATTGTATAATTCTTACTTAGAAGTAAAGAAATCATATTTAAGTTTCATTTATCTCCAAAAATTTCACGGCCATTGCATTACACTTAGCTTATAATTGTTTTATTCTCGCTTATGGAAGATAATGCGTGTATTTATTTTATTCAATCATTTGAATATTTAGTGGTAATTGCTTCTTTTTCGATCATCCCCAGTATGACAAGCCCATTGCTCGGAGACGAGTTTGCCCTGCGAAAAGACGAAGCAGTTCTGTACGCAGGGATAACCCTGTCTTCATTAAGTATTATCATATTGGCAGTTTATATCATCATCAGACGTACACAAAACAGGTTCATATCCTTTAGTTATTGTCTTACTCCTTAACCTCATTCTAGGAAAAGCTAGTTATGTATGGACTATCATAGGGATGTCAAAAACATGGCAAACTTGGAATGGCCTATGGGAGAAAGAGTTACAATATGTGGCAAAAAAAAGGGTCCGTACCAAACGTTCTTAAAAGGACCTTTTAAGAAAGGATTGGGACAACTTCCCTAAGTTCTGACGTCCTATTTTGGCTAGGAATTCGAAACATGCCAGTTATACGTTCCCTTATATTTAATGGATATTTATTTCCTAAACTTAGATCACACACTTCATATTTTCTACAAACAAATTCTAAAGCACCCTTAAATCTAGAATCTAAACAATTTTTTAATTCAAACAAAGTGACATACTAAACCAGTTGAATAAAATTTTACTGATGTCTTTCGTTTTTTGCTGGCAACAAGACAAGAAATTGTGCGTTTGGTAAATTGGTTACATAAACTTGTTTCTCTGAAAAATTTTCTTTACAAAAGCTCTTTTTTTGTTTTTTTTGTCAAAATACTAAAGTTATGTTCTTGAGCCAGTTTGCCCAAACTTATAAGAAATTTTCTAAACTTTTAGTGCTGGCAACAGAAAATCGACTGCTTATGTGCTTAAACTGACCTATATACAGAATTGAAACAATTTTCTTTTTCAGATTTCGCGAAAGGACAATTCTTTTGACCGGGAGTTTCATAACGCTTGTGGCATTTGTTGTCCTTCTGCCTTGGGGAAGTGAGCGCCCTATACTTCAATCGAAAGGTACGTTTACGGCGGTGGTAAGACCTTGTTTACATGAAGATCGCCGTTTATCTGTCTGTGAAATAACTCGCATGTTAAAAATGTTTCTTTAGAACATACTATTTATCCAATATCAGCTACATTTTAAGATGTTCAGTTTGTTTTGTTATTTTTGAATTAATTCTTTGTTTGCAAATTAGTTACTATCTCGTTATTGATTGCAAACTTACAAAACTTAAATCTCATTTTATGGTGTACATTTGTTCAATGCTTACTTGCGATTGCTCCTGAATATCTAAACCAATAACTTTTTCTTTTAGATTCAATTGTTGTCGGAAATGTTTCAAAGATAATATTGTCACCCGGTTGCCCAATCAAGTACCATTGGTGCAAAACCACGCCCAAGATACGCCCAATTCAAATTGCTATTGGGGTTTTCTTTGCGTTTGTTGGCTATGCTATGTCCCGGATTGTCAGTAATCTACTTTATTCAAAAATAATTGGACCAAGGAAACAGGTGAGACTGCACTATATTTCCCTTATTCAAAAAGATTATTCTTTATAAAACTAACAAATGTGACTGGTATCATCAAAATGTATTGGTCAAGGAACCATGCTATCAGCAATAGCAGGGACGGGCCACTTAAAAAAAATGACACAGAAAATCTAGTAATAGAAAGGCATAATGGTGCTAATATCGAAAGGCAAAAATAGCCACATTGACTATCTGCATCTAAATTCTATCAGATTCTATCGTCCAAATTGATGAGCGTATTTATTTTATTTTATATCATATTCATCAACGGCATCATGCTCACTGAATGGCCAATACGCTTTGAAATCGTACCGTTTTTGTCACAATCCTGTACTTCTTTATTCCTTACCGTATTTATCAACGGCTCCATGAATCCTGAAGGATCCTGAAGGCCATTACGTTATGACATCACACCGCTTTCATCTCAATAAGTTAACGAGTTCGTCTTTATTCCATTCGTATTTATCGGCGGCGTCGTGTACACTGAAGGCCAACACGTTATGGCATCACACCGCTTTCATCTCAATAAGTTAACGAGTACGTCTTTATTCCATTCGTATTTATCAGCGGCGTCGTGTACACTGAAGGCCAATACGTTATGGCATCACACCGCTTTCATCTCAATAAGTTAACGAGTTCGTCTTTATTCCATTCATATTTATCAGCGGCGTCGTGTACACTGAAGGCCATCACGTTTTGATATCACACCGCTTTCATCTCAATAAGTTAACCAGTACGTCTTTATTCCATTCGTATTTATCAGCCACGTCGAGAACACTGAAGGCCAATACGTTATGGCATCACACCGCTTTCATCTCAATAAGTTAACGAGAACGTCTTTATTCCATTCGTATATATCAGCGGCGTCGTGAACACTGAAGGCCAATACGTTATGATATCATACTGTATTCACCTCAATACGTTACTGCGCAAGTCTTCATTACATACCCTATTCTTCAGCCGTTCAGAAGAAAGGCAGACCAATATTGTATGATAGCGTGCAGTATCTTGTAAATTGACCCTTACGTTAAAAGACAAAAAATAGCCCAATTGACCATCTGTATCTAAATTCTATCAGATTCCATCGAAAACAAGATGCTGCTTTTTTCTTATACCGTATTGGTGAGCATGTTTCTATATACCATATTCACCAGCAACATCACTGAAAGCCAAAACGCTTTTACATCGTACCGTTCTCATCTCAATCCGCTATCGTGTACATCTCTATTCTATACCGTATTTATCAGCGGCATTGTGTACACTGAAGGCCAATACGATATGATATCACACTGCTTTCACCTCAATACATTATCGTGTACACCTCATTTTTTAACCGTATCCATTAGCAGACCAAAATCCAATACGTTATGATACCGTTACCTACTCACTTGAATACGTTTTCATGAACGTCTTGATTTCACACCTATTTACCAGCGGTAACGCGTAAAGAGAAGAAAGCTAATATGTTATTATTTCGCTCAGTATTCGTTCAAATATGTTATCATGCACGTCTCACTGTATCTATCAAATGTATTGTGTAAACAAAAGACCAACCCATAACTTACGATATCATACTGTATTCACTTCCATACGTTACCGCAAAAGTCTTCATTTCTCAACCTCCTTCAGCCGTTCCTTAAAAACTCAGACCAATATTGAATGATAGCGTGCAGTATCGTGTAAAATGGCCCTTGCATTGATAGAAAAAAATGTCAAGAATCACTTTAGAGCCCCTTTTCCTTACAAAATTACAAAGTGTCTGAATGATTTAAATTTTTTAACTCATCTCAATTGTCTGATCTTTGATTAGGGTTTGTACATGGCCTTCTTCAGCTGTGCTGGCTCACTTGGAGATTTTGCTGGACCACTGCTAACGACTTCATTGTATGCACATTTTGGACCCAGAGGATTGTTTCTTTGTGCAGCGATTGTAAACTTAATTACTGCTACGATGCTTGCAGGTTTTCAAACAATATTAGTTCCATTCGAAGAATATGTTAAAGTACCTAGCGCTAATGAATGATAATTTTAGTATATAAAACAATATCATTGGGTTATAATTTTTTAGAGTCTAAATCATGCACTGTCTATGTAAAGATTTGACTTACCTGAGTTTTAGAAATGTCAAACTTTGAGAGCTAATTATTTTTGGGCTATTTCTTGGGAAAACCAGAACTAAAAGGCAAATATTGTCTTCCATTACCCTTTTCTGGAACATCAGGGTTTGTACATGGCCTTCTTCAGCTGTGCTGGCTCACTTGGAGATTTTGCCGGACCACTGTTAACGACTTCATTGTATGCACATTTTGGACCCAGAGGATTGTTTCTTTGTGCAGCGATTGTAAACTTGATAACTGCTACGATGCTTGCAGGTTTTCAAACAATATTAGTTCCATTTGAAGAATATGTTCAAAATCTATTGCCGATGAATGATATTTTTTGCATAAAAATTACAATTTGATTGTGTTTATAATTTTTTAGAGTCTAAATTATACACTGTCTATATAAAAGATTTGACTTACCTGAGTCTCAAAAATGTCAGCCTTTGAGAGCTTATTTCTTGAATAAAAAATAACAACAAGTATTTTTGGGCTATTTCTTGAAAAAAGCAGATCCGAAAAGGAAACAATTGTCTTTCATTTACCTTACTGGGTTTCAAATGCAATATAACGTTTTATGAAACGATTTCTAAACTGTACATAAAATGCAGATGGCCATCCCACGCGAGCTGAAGTTTCATCTTAAACATATGTATAACATATATCTTGTAAGTCTTAAAGTTGAAAGTCTTAAAACATTCTTAAGTTAGAACGTATGGCAAAAATTGTAAACTAAGTTTTGATGGAAAAAAAGCAATATCTATGAAAATAATCCAGGAATAACAATAGGAAAGAAAATTTATCTATGGACTTTACCCCTTCTTCCTTGTGTGCATCAGTATTTTCTTAAATTTGACTTTTTTGTATTCTCCTGTTTTTAATTTTTGTGAAAAAGGATAGAATTTGTTGTCTTATTGTTTATGGGCACCGGGTTTTCGGTTTCGTTGAAACTTTGTGCTGATTCCTTGATTTGATGGACAAAAAATAGCATTCTGATAAAAATCTCAGCTTGAATATTTCACGGCAAGTACCCGGTAAAACCCTTCCTCTATACAGACGTCCTAAAACTACAACCACAAAGAGGTTTGAGCACTTTGATAAAGCTGAAATATATCCTTCTGGAATGACATTTTTATAAAGACTGATAGTGCAACGTTGGCTGACAGATCTTCCCAGAGCCAACACTCTTCAACTTTGAAAGCCACAAATTAAGACATAAGAATGTGTGTCTAAGAATGGTATATATGGGTCTTTGTTCCCCTTCGACAGGGGAAGTATAAAAGTATGAATTTCAATTGCAGTTAATCTGGAAATCTAAGCTATGCCCAAAATTGCAGAGTACAAAACTGATAATAATCATTGAGAGCTATAATCTCCCAAAAGCAGGTTAGCGGTAAAGGCAGTATAGGTCTCAAAAATGTGAATAACATTTCTTACAAAACCCACGAGACAGACCACGAGATATCTTATCGCTCCCTTTGTTTTTTTTTGGGAATATGTCCCTGCTTTCAAAGAAGTCCCAAACACGACTTCTTTGTAGCGTATTACTTCATCACACAAATTGTTGACTTACTTGCTGTTGATTTGCCATGCCAGGGTTCCAAATAGGTTTTGTGGCTTTATACTTGACGCCTCATTGCTGAAACATAAAATCATAAAAGGTCTCGGTTTTGTACACAATGGGGTTTTTTGGTTGCTTGCACTCATAAAGGTTAAGTAAATTATTTAGCTAGAAAAGTTTCCCATTTCTGTTTATACTTACTTTCTCTACAATCGCAATGCTACTGGCTACAATGGGTCCTGTCAGGTTGGTAAGTCTATTTATTGACAAAATTGTTAACTCTTTTGAACGATTCTACAAGAACAAAATAAATTTCATTGAGGAAGAAGAATTAATTCAGACAGCAAACAAATTGCAGAACTAGTGAATGACTACTTTGTCAATATAACACAGTCATTAAATATTCCTAAATACCTGCCACAAAAAGAGAACTACACACCTCCTAATAGCAACGTACAGCCAGAAAGCTATTGTTCTACGTTTGATAAAATTATAGAAGCATATAAAGAGCACACTGTCGTTTTAAATTTTTCATGTTATAATAAGGTAATCTATCAGACCTTCATTGAAGCATTAATCAACGCCGCATGTAGCTAATTCTTAGCGGAGAATTTAAGACACCAACTTTTTCTAATGTAGTAAAGGGTGTAGATTATGAATTTGAATGTTGATCAAGTGTTTGAGGGAGCGTTTCCGATAAAAAGGGTGTCCAACCGGAAAAAAGGGGGGTCATTGGTATGTCAAGCACTGATTGCTTGTCGTGATTTGAATGTCAGTTAAAACATATCATTTTTGTCATTATAAACTTGTTCTTTTTTTTGGGGCCTATGAACTTTCCACATTTCATCTTGTGGGGAGAGAAACCTACAAAATTTGCATTCATCAAACAATTTTGAGGGAAGATGCGACTAGAATGTGTTTTAAATGAAGTTACTAGACTTTCCAAACGCAAATTTCCAAAGTGCTGTTTTCCCCTAAAGAAAGAAAAAATACAAGCTAAAAGATATTATTCTTCGTTCTTATCATTCTGTCGTTCAAAAGGGTATGGACTCCCAATTTTCCATTGCTCAACTGGCCACACCCCACCCCGAATCTTAACACCCTGGCTACGGTACTGGTCATTTGATAAAGTAAAAAATTAAGAAATGTTTAGAGTTCTGGAAGTATTAGATATAAATGGAAAGGATTTACAACTAACAAGGAACTTATATAAGGGACAGAGTGCAGCGATTAGAATTGACGGAGAGACCAGCAAGTTGACATTTTTATGAGTGGTGTAAGACAAGGATATGCATAAGCGTACGGACCGGGGGGGGCTGGGGGGCGGCAGACCCCCTCCCCAGTTTTTCGAAAAACCATGTCAGTCGGGCACATTTTCAAAAATTATCCGCAAATAGTTGGGCAGAAATGACACTGGAAAGTGATGGGACTTACTTTACGCAATTTGGTTGAACTTTCGTGGTATCTTCAAATAACCCAAAGACTGAAGGCTACGTGTCAATATAGTTGCATTATCAAATTTACCAAGAGTGCTTAAAAAATGATAAGTTGGTTTTTGAAAATAACAAGAAGTAAAGCGCTTCTGAATCTTATGGTAATAATACAGCAATGCTTGTCCAGAAAATGTTTCAAGAAGGTTTGCATCAAGTACTGCCATTCCTGTATGAAGCAACATTGCTAAACTGAACGATCATTCAGTGGCCTTCGACGGCTGAAAACATATCTCAGATCAACCATGGGCCAAGAACGGCTGAGCAATTTGGCACTACTTAGCTTCGAGAGGAAGTTTTCAAACGAAGTTTTGAAAAGTGACATGAATGCGATGATTGATACATTTGGACATAGAAAGGGTCGGGACTCACATTTCTTTTGACTCTAGTCAAATTCAAGAGTAAATAAAAGTATTTTAAGTGATATTAAGTGAAATATTGGAAAATATAATACATTGCTGCCCTTATCTATGAGAAACTTAGATCAAACTTTTAGGTTTGAACAGTAGACATTATAGAAGAATCGATAAGGATAGCATGTCCCCCCCCCCCCCCAACATGTCTCTGATTGGTTTGCTCTACTCTCAACTGACTATTTTTACTTTAGATATTTCGGTGAAAAAGAACTCGTAATGTAAATATTCCTATGTCAAGTACCTTATCACACACAGGCTCATAAATATATGCATGCCTCTGTACTCGGGCGAAAATCCTACCGCCTATCAAAAGTTATGAACATAGCAAAACACTGTACATATTTTGCAAAAGAAATAAACGTTGGCCCGATCCCAATTTAATGGACTTCCAAAGTATTTTTTTTAATATTATGTTTATTCCAACTGTATAATTTGTTTCAATATGCTATTCGAAAGATAAGCCGCCAATTGTACTTTGCCTAAAGAAAGTGAGATGTAGAATTGTATTTCTTGAAAGATATGTCGAATAAAAATAGGCCTCCATTATTATTGTCATTGGTACTATGAGATTTTCTGGATACTTTAAGATCTTATGGGGACTATAGCCCCCTGAATACAGCTACTCACCCCCAAAAGCTTTGTTCAGGGTGTTTGTAGTCCTTATAGTCATCATTATTGTGTTTTCTTGGCTAAAGCGTCTGTTTCTTCCACTTGTAGTTTAACTGAAAAGAAAAATTTGAAAAAGAAAGAGATTTCATGGCGGATGAGAAGGAAAAACTCCTTAGCGGGGCAAGGTAATGCAGATTTATGGATTATGGTTTACGAAATAAAGCATTGTGGTTTCTCAGCTCTTCTAATCTACAAACAGTAAAAGTATTTTCATTTTCAGGTACATGCTACAGTAATAAGAAACTGCAGGCCGACTTTTTCAAAGAAATGTACCAAACTATAAGAAACTGGTCAGCTTGAATTTTTTCCAGTTTCTTATATGTGTGAAAAATAAATGTAGGAAGCAGTTTTCTAGAAATTGTTGCCAGTGTGCCCTTTTTCATTAATATGGAGTGTTTGGTTCATAACATGCATAATGCCTCTAGTAAGAAATTAGAATACAGTAGGATACAGTATTTATTGTCTGTCATGGAGTTTTTACTTTTTCCAGTTGGTCCAGCTATTTTCATCATCTTATAAGAAACACATTTTTATAAGAAACTCATCAGCCTGTTTTTCAAAATTTATTCCTTTTATAAGAAACTCGTCAGCCTGATCTGAAAAATCAGTTTCTTATATGCGGGTTTTTACTGTATTTGACTTGGTTCTCATCTCAGAAACATGTTAGAGAAAATCGTCTGCTTGTTAAAAGGCCTGCGGCGCTCAATATAGCTCACCTAAGAGAAAAGTCTTTTCTAGACAGGTGCATTTCTAAGAGCTAGACATTGATCATAAACATAATCAGAGTTCCAAGAGGGAAATAGCTCCACCCCTGGAAAGTCAAAAGGTGAAGATGGAGGGAAGGGATGCAAAACAATGAGTTTTCTCCCTTTCTGTTAATTGTTGATTAGGAAGAACAATGATAAATTAGATAGCTCAGCCTGACCTGCCTGCCCTATGGCATCGCCATTGGCTCAAATATCAAAGCTCACCTTGTTTGCTATTGGCTTATTTTGATTTCCACTGTCACGTGCTACGTGAAACGGAGCCCTCTGACGAATTACAGGATAATCTCTCCAGCGCAGCATAGTCTGAAGTGAAAGTTACGTATTGAATAAAGTGCATCCCTACCCGGTATGATACGCGTTATTGTATTGCAGGGACAGTGTGGCAAACGAAACCACAGATGAAGATCAACACGAGACGCCTGAAGAGTACAAATCAAGATGGAGGACAATTAGAATCACTTACTTAACTATGGCACTCAGTGCAATGGGTAAATAAAATTGAATTGAATTATCTTAGTACAAGTGGAAGTATTGTTGTTGTACACCATGTCAGTATTGCTTCCACTATATCAGGGATGGCGCCAGAAAAGAAATGCTGGGGGGGGGCTGTGATGTCAGAGTGCCGACAGTGAGTGAACCACCCACAAAGGTGTAATATAACACCATTTCTGCTGTGGTAATTCTAGTTCAAAAAATTGTAAAAAAAATCAAACAATGAAAAAAGAATAAAAAATTACGAAGTAGAAGTTATGAACGTGCCAACATTGCTTAAACTTTTTCAAAAATTGAAGAGCCGACGGCGGGGCTCCTGCCCCATCCCTGCACTATACATACATTTAATACTTATAGAATACTGCTAGAAAACATCTAACTGAAATAATTAAAAAAACTATATGTTTCCAAATTTGTCTTTTTGCTCTGTTGGTGGGTGGTACTTGCCAATTTTTCGATCATTTTTTGTGGCATTTTGCTTGTATTCAGGGAAATTGGAATCATTTTAAAGATGGATTGACTCAACTGGGAAGACGTACTATGTGTCAGGAAAAAGATCGCTGAAAGCCACGGTTCAAACGTCCCTGCTTTTTAGGTTTCTTGCATGCTTGTAATTAGACACATCTTCACAAATAATATAATCCTCAACGCAACATTATTTTTCAAATCTACCATATTATCTGTGCACAAATATTTCAACTACATTTCTTCTTTTTTAGAATTTGCAATTATTTTACCGTCAATCTGGCCTTATCTGCAAAAGGTAATATTCCTCATTTTTCCACAATCTATTGTATTTTATCAAAGAGATAACTGCAAAGGGGCCTGATTCAATGTGTGCAGCCTGCTTTAACTTATACTTTGTCTTCAAGCTTAGCTTGACTTAATTAAATCAAAAATTTAGTTCGTTGTATACGCCAACGAATGTATGTTCAAGCTAGGACCTAGTACGTAGAAATGTAACGTACAGTGGATTGAAGGACGTGGCATACTGGACTTAGATTGTACAACGTATCATAAAATATGAATGCATTTAAACAAAATTCTGCTTCAATTTTGTAGGTTGACCAAGAAGTCAATGCTCAGTTTCTGGGTTTGGTAGTTAGTGGTTACAGCATTTTTCAGATTTTTGGTGCCATTTTGTTTGGTGCTTGGTGCCAGTACCGTCCAGCTATCGAGCCACTGTTGGCAAGCACTTCTCTTCGCTTTATTGGGCATTTCTTGTACCTGTGTGCTGAAAACTATCCTGGTTTTGATGGGAAAATGTTGATTCTGTTGGCAAGGCTTACTGTCGGTTTTTCAGCAGGTAAAATGCTACTTCGCTTATGTTTGTATTTGATAGTTCAATTATTTGTATTAAAAGTCTCTGATCTGAGATTTCACTCTAAAGTGTGATGGTAAATAGGTATTTGTGCTATCATTATTTTCATCCCAAAGCGAGCCAACAATTATTGCTTTTACAGCACTGCGTAGCGTTCAATGGAGAGCCACAAATTCAGCTCTCAACAGCCCCCTCCCCTCCAACCCCACCTTGCCCATCTAATGTTTGGATAAACATCACACTGATTTTGCCAGGAGAGGTAGCTGTTTGTCGCACTGTGGCATCCCAGTCAACTGCAAAAGACGAGAAGAACAATGCATTGAAATTCATAGTTGCATTGGAAGAATTTGGCGCTGCAATTGGTCCAGGTGGGTACACCATATTTCCCGGTGACTGTTATTTGTTGAACTACCGAATTTGAAAACTCATCTCGAAGGAGATCCTCTATGTTGGATAAAAAATGATCCATATCATTTCAATCCTGTCAAGTTTATGGAACATATCAATATGCAGTGTCGACGAGGGATTACGTGTGTTGCATGAATTTGACTAGAGACTCAGTCACTATTTATATATTAGCTTTCTCAGTGGCTTTCTCTATATTGTATACAAAATAAACGTTTCAGTTTATTTTGTTTGCATTGCTCATCAATTTCAATTTCTTTACCTTTCCATATTTTCTGGGGGTAAATATTCTTTCATTGACTACCTTTTACTTGAGAAGAAAAATTTTAAAAATTTTGCCAGCACTTTTTAACCTTTTAGCTGTCAAGAGGTCACACATAAATGCAAATGTCAAAACGTAATATTGGTTAAATCAAGGATTTGATCATGGTAGAGATTAGCATTGATATTTTAGAATTACCCAGAAAAATAGGAAGGGACGCAGCCCCCCTTCGAAAAGTAGAAAGGGAGCTCAGACTCCTGAATCCCCTCTTTTGCAATCCTACCCTCCCCCCCCCCCTAAAAAATATTTGAATAAAGCGTTGATTTCTGGGGAAGGGAGTGTTTAAAGTTACTTATTAGAAATTACATGCCTTTTCATCACACAAAACTCTTTCTCGAGTTAAGATATTGGTCGGATTCAAAATAAGTCGTTTACGGATCAATTGACTGATCAACCAATTTTTCTATTGAGTGTGATGAAAAATCGATTTAATCTCGTATGTTTATGTTAATGCGCAAAGCTTGACCACAAAACAATACTCTTTGCTTAGTTGGAAATTCCTTCGATATAAGCCCGATATAATGAAGATAGTTCAAGACAGATCAATTATGCCAAGACATAAACGCTATTTTTGCCAAGCACTCATGGTATTATGATTCATGAAAGTATAAATGCATTGTTCCCGACACTACCTTAAAATTTGCGTTTCAAGAAAAAGGAGTTTTTTCCATCTAGAGGTGCTTAAAAGGAAAATTTTCAAAATTGTCGACAAATGGACATTCCCCTTAAACATAACAGCTAGTGACGGCTATTCTAAAGAAAGCCCTCCGCACATCTGCTCTGTATCTTGTGCTCCACACAATTTTAATTGATCAAAACGAAAGTATGGGAATCTACGCATAAAATGAATCAATGCAGATACTTTTAAACAGCGTCTATTAGGGAATGGTACATGCTATTAATATAACAGAAATTTCACTTAGGCAACGAAGTTGTTATTACTGCAATTTGACAGGGGTCTTAGTTTTCATTCGAGATACGGGATATATAAATTGAATTAGGAGCTTTCGATTTAAACAGCCTCAGCCCATTCGAGGCAAGAAAGATAATTCAGATGTTTTTTCATTTTTCAGCTTTGCAAGCTGTAGCCGTACCCCTGCTGGGCAAAGGACTACATTATTCTTTTGTGAATATTGACATTTTCAACATTGCTGGATGGATCGGAATAGTGACAGCAGTTTTCAAAATTTTCATCCTCCTTATTTGGTTCAAAGAACACAACATTGATGTAAAAGATAGCACAGGCAATATCTCATATCCTTTTCCTCTTAATATCATGCAGTAAAATAGGAATATATACAAAGCCGCCATTGTGTAGACAAAAGGAGTTCGTTTTCTCTCTTGGACTCCATTGGTAATTTTTCTTTAGGCTCGCGGCACTGATTGGTCAACTATACCGGTCTTGTGCTTGCGTTTTTCTGATTGGCCTATTTCGATCCACAACTGGGTATATATTTTTCCATCGTGTTTTTCGGAACCTATTCTGACGTTTTATGCTCTGAGGAGTGTCAGACGAAAAAGCTTTTAGTATGTCGTAAAATGTTTGCTTTTTTCAAAGCCATTTTCGAATATATTTTATTTAGCTACTCACAAATAAGCAGGTAAGAATGTTTGCATAGAAAATAGGGCCGATTTTCATCAAGCAATAAATTTTTGTAAATCGTGAAAAAAATGGAGAAATAAACTACAAAGTTTTCAGTATATCTTTTGTTTGAAGGAGACTTCTAAGTTGAGTGAAGGTTAATCTGATTTCCGTGAAGACTTTTTTTTAATAAAATTGATTTAAGCAAGTGGAAACGCTACAAAGTGTGTGTATTTCTGCTTCTCGTAGAAATATTGAACTTGAAAATTAAACAGGTAGAGTAGACAGCTTCTTTATTTGTGTTTATTCATTGCCTATGTCTGTGTGGGTCTCCTGATGATAAGGGTGAAAAAGACAGAAGTCTAGACAATCGGCTAAATCTGCCTAGATGCACTTGCCACGGGGTTGTTATCTTCTTGGTTCGAATCATACATGAAAACTATCTTTATGTATTTTTTATATACTGTTTCAATTCTAGGTGATCTTCCAAAGCCAAACCTGTGTGCTGCTTTGGTTTCAATAATAGCCTTGTTCGTCCTTTATTGTGATATTTCAATGATTGAAACGTAGGCTGAAGTTTATATTCAACTAAATTTCAATGATAATTTTACCATTCTGGTAGCATAAGGATAGAAAAGAACATTTGCAAGAGAGAGACAAACTTTATCTAGACAAACTTTACGCAGATCGGATAGTATTCTTTTGATGTCGGTTCCGTTTACACGCTACCGGATTCATTTCATATCGGATTCCTTTCATACCAGATAGGCCTTCTGTTTACACAATGAGAACCCAATCCGAAATGCTTTCGCTCCGCTACAAAAGTGGTATGAAACCAATCCAATATGTATCGGATTGGGTTGAGTGCTCGGGTAAACGCTTGAATCCTGTATCATTATGCTACGCAGCCTCAGTTAAAATCCCTGTGGCCTCAGCCCCACGTTTGGCGCGTTTTTTCATTAAACTGTTGTTTCATTATTTAAAAACAAGATGGATGCTGATAAAGTTAAATTATCCTTTACCACAATGATTGGTTTTGCAAACATTTTTCAGATAAGTAGGCACCTCGTGGATCTTTATTGGAGATATTACTTATCTTTAAGAAGACTTTACACTCTAACTCTCCCAGTCTTTCCCTTGAATTGAGAACTCGCTGCATGCGATCTGACGGTTTCTAGCAATAGCTCAATTTCTTGACCAGGCCAGAAAAAATTTCTTCATCAATTTTCTTCCCTGCTCCCGCCATTTTCCTGTTTCAGTCACCCACATCAGTGCTCACATGGCAAAGGAAAAGGTAGCTTTATCCTTTCCAATAGCACCACAGCAGCGCGTCTTGCAAAAGAGAAAAAAAATTCACGATTACCTGAAAAAAATTGGATTGATAGGAATCCAATATTTCTTATAGATAAGGGCATGACCTTAGTAGTTATTAGCATCTAACACAACATGAGATATCAGTAAGCAGTTATCCTCAGCTCAAGAAGATATTCTTCGTCATTTATAAATTATACAAAGTTAAGGTGGTCGCCCCCCTTCTCTTCCACAATATTTTGGTCAAAAGACAATGGTCTTTTGTTCTAAAACCATAGGAAAATGTGACGTCATATTATCAGAACAATAAGCTTCTGTCCGCCACTGTTTGTGTGTGTTGATTTGTATTTGTTTTTACCAAGCATCTTAAGGTAGTTTTTAGGAAAACAATGAGACCCTCTGCTACATAACACTGTTTCTATATGTCCAACTTAACTGAATTCGACTGTATTACACAATCCTTACTTAGTAGCAAATAAATCATATATATATTTCATTATTTTCTCATAACATTTCAAGGCGACTGTATTTACACCTTCCTTATAATTGTTTCTTGCCCTCTTATGAAAGATAGTGTGTTTAATTATTTTATTCCATCATTTGAATATTTAGTGTTAATTGCTCTTTTTCTTTCATCCCCAGTATGACAAGTCCATTGCTTCCAGACGAGTTTGCCCTGCGAAAAGACGAAGCAGTTCTGTACGCAGGGATAACCCTGTCCTCATTAAGTATTATCATATTGGCAGCTTATATCATTATTAGACGTACACAAAACAGGTTCATATCCTTCAGTTATTATCTTATTCCTCAACCTCATTCTAGGAAAAGCTATTTACATAGTACCCTGGGTGCCAGAGCCTTCGAAATTCCTTCCGCCGTTCTTCATCCTTCCCCCGTTCTTCATCCTTTGACTCTCTGAGGCTCTGGCACCCAGGGTAGTTATATATGGCCTACCATAGGGATGTCAAATGCATGTCAAACTAGGAAGGGCCTATAGGAGAGGGAGTTTCAATATGTGGCAGAAAAAAGGATCCTTTTCCAAGTTTTCTTCAAAATTTATTTTTTAAAAGAAGCTGGGGACACTTTGCCCAAGTTCTGACGTCCAATTTTGGCTTAGAATTCGAAACATGCCAAATATACTTTCCCCTTTATTGAATGGATATTTATTTTGTTAACTTTAAAGACACACCTCTTATTTTCTACAACCAAATTGTAAAGAGCCTTCAAACCTAGAACCTAAACAAATCTAGAATTCAAACAAAGCTGCAGTTTAAGCAAATTCATAGTTATTATATATCATATATTATATTTCTTAAGCTGTTTGTTGACAACAAGACACAGAAAATGTCTATCTAGTAAATTGCTTAGACAAACCAGTTTCCCTGAATTATTTTTATCATCAATAATTGCATAATTATTCAAGCTATAGAAAATTTTTTTCTTAATTCCACAGTTCGCATTCTTTTTTGTCAAGATTTTAAGTTATATTTTTTCAGCGAACTTGCCCAAAATTATAAAAAATTTTGTAAACTTTTGGTGCTGTCAACAGAAAATCGACTGAGTTTGTGCTGAAACTGGCCTTTATATACAGAATTGAAACAATTTTCTTTTTCAGATTTCGCGAAAGGACAATTCTTTTAACCGGGAGTTTCATAACGCTTGTGGCATTTGTGGTCCTTCTGCCTTGGGGAAGTGAGCGCCCTACACTTCAATCGAAAGGTGCGTTTTCGGCGGTCGGAAGACCTTGTTTAAACAAAGATCGCCGTTTATCTGTCTGTGAAATAACTCGCATGTTAAAAAACGTTCCTTTAGAACCGACTCTTTATCCAATATCAGCTACATTTTAAGATATTAAGTTTTTTTTGTTATTTTTGAATTGTTCCTTTTTTGCAAATTAGTTACTATTTCATTATTAATTGCAAACTTAAATCTCATTTTATGGTGTACATTTATGCAATGCTTACTTGCGATTGCTCCTGGATATCTAAACCAATCACCTCTTCTTTTAGATTCATTTGTTGTTGGAAATATTTCGAAGATAGTGTTGTATCCCGGATGCCCAATCAAGTACAACTGGTGCAAAACCACGCCCAAGATACGCCCAACTCAATTTGCTATCGGGGTTTTCTTTGCGTTTGTTGGCTATGCTATGTCCCGGATTGTCACTTATCTACTTTATTCAAAAATAATTTGACCAAGGAAACAGGTGAGACGGAACTACATTAACAACAAAAATTTTCCTAATTAACTTTTCGGCGGATAAACGTCGTCGAAAAAAATTTCGGACAACTTTTCAGAATATCGTCGTCACAAAATCTCCTCGTGAAATTTTAACATAAAGATAGCAACATATTACCAAAATCTTCAGAGGAAAAACCATACAGGTTGCTTAACACTCAATCCCATTGGTACCGATTTCGTGGAGACTCAAGGGCTTGAGCACCCGCTCGGAATTTGGCTCAACCCCTCAGGCAGCATATCAGAAAACCAAATTAAAGCGGTTATTTACTCAGTTTAAGGCCGATTTCCATTTGACATTTCTTGTGTGCGCGGGCGTAGCGTCCAAATCTGAGCATGCGTAGTTAAAATCAAGTGGTCTCGATTTTGCGTCCGCTGTGAGCGCCAGCTGGCTGAGTCCTTTTCTCAATACGTTATCGCGTACGTCTTTATTCTATACCGTATTTTTCAGCGGCATCGTGTACACTGAAGGCCAATACGTTATGATATCACACTGCTTTCACCTCAATACCTTATCGTGTACACCTCATTTTCTAACCGTACCCACTAGCAGACCAAAAGTAAATACGTTATGATACCGTTACCTACTCACTACATTACGTTTTCATGAACGTCTTGATTTCACACCTATTTACCAGCGGTAACGTGTAAAGAGAAAGCTCAGTATTCGCTAATACATTATTATATCGCTCAGTATTCGTTCAAATACGTTATCATGCACGTCTCACTGTTTCTATGAAATGTATTGTGTAAACAGCCAAGACCAATCAATACGTTATGATATCATACTGTATTCATTTCAATACCGCAAAAGTCTTCATTTCACACCCTTCTTCAGCCGTTCCTTAAAAATGCAGACCAATATTGAATGATAGCCTGCAGTATCGTGTAAATGGACCCTTGCATTGATAGAAGGAAATGTCAAGAATCACTTTAGAGCCCCTTCTCCTTACATAGTATCTGGATTTTAATTTTGACATGAATCAATTGTTTGATCTTTAATCAGGGTTTGTACATGGCCTTCTTCAGCTGTGCTGGCTCACTTGGAGATTTTGCCGGACCACTGTTAACGACTTCATTGTATGCACATTTTGGACCAAGAGGATTGTTTCTTTGTGCAGCGATTGTAAACTTAATTACTGCTACGATGATTGCAGGTTTTCAAACAATATTAGTTCCATTCGAAGAATATGTTAAAGTATCTAGCGCTAATGAATGATAATTTTAGTATATAAAACAATATCATTGGGTTATTTTTTTTAGAGTCTAAATCATGCACTCTCTATGTAAAAGATTCGACTGAACTGAGTCTCATAAATGTCAAACTTTGAGAGCTAATTATTTTTGGGCTATTTCTTAGGGAAACCAGATCTAAAAGGCAAATATTGTTTTCCATCTACCTTTTTTGGAACGTTTTCTGAACTCTGTATAAAATGCGGATCGCCATGGAAAAATCTGCAAACCAAGTTTTGACGGAAAAGAACAATATCTCGGAAAATAATCTAGGGAAAACAATTGGAAAGAAACTTTCTTAGTGGACTGTACCCCTTTTTCCTTGTATGCATAAAAATTGTATTGATTTTGACGCCCCGTTTTGTCTTTGTAAAAAAAGCAAAGAATTTAGTAGCTTATGGGTACAGCGCTTATTGGTTTCTTCTAATAGGCGTGCTGTTTCTTTTTGATGTACCAAAAATGCGAAAGGGATTGTCTCAAAATGCGAAAGGGAATGTGATGCAATTTTTTCCAAGACACCGACAAAAAGCACGAGGCACTACCTACGTTTGCGGGTGTGCCAGTGGAAAATTGACCTAAGAAATCTTATGCAGTTTGCCCTTTCTGCCAGGACTTTGTACAGCAGCTTCTTTCCTTGTTCTGACTTGTGTTTTTATCAATGTACAGGCCAATAAAATAGGAGCAACAGCTCCCCTGTTTTCTTGACTCACATCTTAAATCAGTGAAACCTCTCGCCTTCTCTAGACTGCTGATGTGATATAGAAGAACAGAATTTAATAGCAAATAAACATGAATTTGAGCAAAGTTTTGGCCAATGAAATGCCTGCCAAAACAGTTAGTACTTCGTGTATCGTTGGTTTTTCCTAGCTAGCATGATTTGTCAGTGCCTTTGAAAAAATTGCATCACAGACATTTCCCGGTGGGTCATCTAGAAAACTCACCCTTATCTCTGAAATTTGATGCCTCGCCTTCCCGCTAAGATTATTAAAAATAATGTTGACATAGTTGCCTCCCATCTGCTAGACCTCTTCAATAAAAATGTGGATGGAAACTTTTCCTGATGAAATGAAAGACGTTGATGTTAGCGCGTTTTTTAAAAATAGTTACTCGTTTCACAAAAAAATCATTGACCAATAACAGTATTACCGTCTGTCTCAAAAGTTTTTGAAAGACTTTTGACTAATCAAATGTTACCTTTTGTGAACAAGTTTCTCTCACCTAAAATTGGTGGCTATCGACAGGGTTATAATACCCAGCATGCTTTGCAAAAATTGGTGGAGACTTGTAAGAAGACCTTAGACAACAAAGGCTTTGTCGGAGCAGTCCTAATGGACTTACCCAAGGCTTTTGATTGTCTCAACCACGAACTTTTGCTTGCTAAATTGAATGCACACGGCTTTAGTACAAATGCCTACAAATGGTCAAAGTAAATGGCTCATTCAGCTCTTGGAAAGAAATGAAATTAGGCGCCCCTCAAGGATCAGTTCTAGGGCCTCTCTTGTTTAATAAATTTATCAATGATATTTTCCTTTTGTTGAAAGAGACTGAAATCTGTAATTATGCAGATGATACGAAAATTTACTATTCTCGTCAAGAGTTAAAGGAGGTTACTTTAAGACTTTAAACTAAGCAATTGGTTTGCAGAAAATTTCATGAACTTGAATGAAGAAAAATGTCACCTTCTAGTATTTGGTGAAAAAGACACAGAAATCTTGATAAATGTTGGCCCCTTCGTGATTAAAGAGAGCAAAGAAGAAAAATTGTTAGGCGTTTTAATTTGAACAAAAACCAAGGATATTAAATTTTTAAATTTTTCATGCAACTGTAGATTATGTAAGAGTTTTATTGTAAATTTAGGTTATACTTAGGGTGGCTCTGCTGTCCGCTATGATGGGTTGCGGGCTTCCTTCTTGCAGGGGTTGCCTTGCTTGGGGTGCTGCTCGGTCTGTCAGGAGGCGGCTGTGACGGTATTGCTCTGCGTGGTCTTGGCTGTAGAGGTATACGTTATGTTTCTTCTATTGCTGGGACTCTGCGGGGCAGCGGCGTCTTTGCTGCTTTCGGCAAGCTGGGTGGTGTTCGGGGGCTGGCTAGTTTCTGGGGGTGGCTTTTGCGGGGCGGGGGCTCTCGGCTCGCTGGGGCGGGGGACAGAGTTACCATCAACTCTATGATGTTAATTGGTTTTATTTATTCATGCTTTTGTATAAATTATGGTTGGCATTAATTAGCCTTGTGCTATCAACTACGACAACCTTGAACAGAGAATTTATTAATTTTTACTATAATGCCAATTGGATTCCCCTTTTCTTTGAAACCAAAGAAAATTTATATCCTTTTTCCTGAAATAAAGTGGTTGAAACAAGGCAAACAGAGACCAATTAGAAACTATGTTAAGATTCTCATATCATGCACCCTTTTTTCTATTTTCTATGTTATAGATATATGACAAAATTGAGCCCCTTTCGCAGAGATATTGAAGACACGGGGCTAACACTTGACAACGAGAGTGGACCCGCCGGGAAACATTTCCATTTGATCGCTGGTCAAAAGAAAAATCTGCAATGGCAAATTATCAGCAACTTCGTGCAACTTCAAGCAAATTTTAAGATTGTTTACACGATCACACTCTGTGATCACATAAAAATGATGAAAACCATGTAAGTCTACAAAGACTTATAACTCTAGACTTACGAGCTTACGTCCCAATCTGTAGAAAATTATGTTGCATACGCGTAAATATTCAACAGCGACACCAGAAAATCGAGTGTACTAGCTTTCATTCTGTATATACTCTTTTATGAGAAAGCTTGCGTTGCTTAAAATTGCTTCAAAAATGCATCTTCCAGCCAACTGGAAGCATCAAAATTCTAAAGTTTTCTTTTCCTTCGGACAGTATCGTTATATCCTGGGCTTGTTGCGATCTTCTGATTTATAGACCTAAAGGGCTGGAAGGTCTGATAATATCACGTTAACTTTTTTCAATCGGCACAACGGATTTTGGAGGATGGTGTCAGCAGCTACAGAATTTCAGGTAATTTTTTCAATCAATCAATGTGTCGGTAAGAGCTCTTGGCATTCTTGCTTCTTCTTCTTCTAATTCGCTCTCCAATAAGCTTAAAGGTCTAGTTGTTATGAAAACCTCCAGCCGTAACTTCTGTAAAACGTCATGAACATAGCAATACGTTGTGCTTATATTGTATTTTGTAACAGAAATTAACCTTGGCCTGATTCCGATTTAATGGACTTCTAACGCGCTCTCATTGTAATGTTTATTCCAACTGTTATTCTAAGTTTCATTTTGTTGTTGGAAAGATAAGTCGCCAATTGTATATTTCCTAATAAATGTTAAGTGTATAATTGTATTTCTTTAATGATATATTGAATAAAAAGAGCCCCCATTATCAATGTCATTGGCATGACATGATGAGATAATTTGTTATATTTGTGCAATTTAGTATGTTCATGTTTTGAATGAATTTGGTACATGTTTACTTGGACGTGTTTATTCGAGAAGAACAAGGTTTTTCAAGGATCAACTTTGCACTAAGCAATCAAAAGTTTTTCTCCACAAATGAAACGTTGACATTGGCAGTGAATTTGAAATAAATAGAATTTGCATGCGTCAATTTTGTATCATGTTTATGCGAAGACTAACTTAGCTTCCCGTAGATGTTGCAGCTATTTACGTTTCAAAATTTTTCCAATCTGCTTTGAATTAGGTGCCTTAGGTGACTATGACCCCCTTGAACACAGCTCTTAACTACATTGTTCAGGCTAAAGGGCCTGATTCTTCCACTTGTAGATTAACTGAGATAAAAAATTAAATTTGAAAAGCATTCATGGTTATGGAGAAGGAAAAGCTCCTTAACGAGACAAATTAATTTCATATTTGGAAATGAACATTTATAGATTATGGTTCACAAAAATCAGGATTGTGGTTTCATAGCTCTTCTATTCTAAGAACAGAAAATAGTTTTCCTTTTTCTCTGTCACGCCATGTAGAGAAAAACAAATGATTTGATTTTTCACATAATTTTGAACATGAAAATCACGCAAATGCCACCAATTTTTATACAAAACAATTTCGACCTGACTTTCACCTCACAAGCAAATAGAAGAAAATTGTCTGCTATTTAAAAAGTATGCGGCATCTAATTAGCCCACCTGAGTGGAAAGTCTTACGCTGCACAGGCGCATTTCACCTTTTTGCTATTGGCTTATTTTGTTTTCATTGTCAGGTACTACGCGAAACTATGTGATAATTGTATTGCAGGGACAGTGTGGCAAACGAAACCACAGATAAAGATCAACACGAGACGCCTGAACAGTACAAATCAACTTGGAGAACAATAAGAATCGTTTACTTAACTATGGCACTCTCTGCAATGGGTAAACTAAATTGAATTTAATTATTTTATTGTAAGTTGAAGAATTGTTGTTGTACACCATGTCAGTATTGCTACCATTCGACATACCTGCTTGGAGATGAGTTTGCCCTGCGAAAAGACGAAGCAGTTCCGTACGCAGGGATAGTCTTATCTCAATCAAGTATAATCATCTTGGCAGCTTCAGACGTACTCAAAACAGGTTCCTTAATTTCAGGTATTTTCTTATGCTTTAGACTCATTCTAAAAAAAACTAGTTATATGTGAGTTATCATCAGGGATGTCAAAAGAACCTGAAACTTGGAGGGACCTAAGAGAGATGTGGCAATAAGTCGCGGTTTTTTTCTAAATCCCCTTCGGAGTAACCTTCGGAGTAAGCATGCTAAGTCAAGCTAGAAACACGTTCCCCAAGATATGACCTCCTAATTTGGTTAGGAATTTGAAGCATGCTAGATATATTTTTTCCTTATATTGACTGGATTTTGTTAACTTCAAAGACACACCTCATACTACCAAATTGTAAAGAACCCTTAAACCTAGAGTCGAAGCAATGATTACATTCAAACAAAGTGGCAGACTAGGTCAGTTGAAAACAATTTTACTTATGTCTTTGTTTTTTGTTGGCAAGAACACAGGAAAATGTGCATTTGGTAAATTGGTTATAAAAACTATTGGCTATATATTTTTTTCAGATTTTGCGAAAGGACAATTCTTTTAACCGGGAGTTTCATAACGCTTGTGGCATTTGTTGTTCTTCCCCTTGGGGAAGTGAGCGCCCTATACTTCAATCGAAAGGTGCGTTTATGGTGGTCGGAAGGACTTGTTTACACGAAGATCACCGTTTTATCTGTCTGTGAAACAACTCGCATGTTAAAAACATGTTCCTTTAGAATTTACTTTTTATCCATTATCAGCTTCATTTTAAGATGTCGCGAATTGGTTGAAGCACGACAACAAAAAACTCACAAGGTTTGATTTTCAATCTATTTTTTTTCCAACCAAAACGTACAGCGATAACATAAAAAACCACAGCGGAAGCTCACGCCCCCACTCTTCTCCTCACAATCAATAAAACTGTGTCTCACAAACAATAAAAAGGTTAAAGGTTATTAAGAATAATGTCAATTGTCTAGTTCTCTTGTGACCTTCGCAGTAACGCACGCCTCCGCGACACACTCCCCCATTTGATGTCCCTGGACAGCAAATGTCAATCATCGGCTAAGTCTCTACTCTCATCTTGAATAATCTTTCAGACTGTTCCTGCTGCGAGTTGTGCAGCCTTTCGCTTAGGTCTATATTCCTCAGCTTGTGGATTGAGCTCACGTGTCTGTACTGCTCTTTCTCTTTCGCATGCTAACTCCAATGGATACAATAGCTGTACAGCTCTTTCTACAACTGTCTTTCTTGTTTTGACTCTTGCCGCTCTGACAACTCCATCTCCACTTGCCTTTGTTCTTGTCGTCTGCATGAATCAGCACCACATCTCTCTCACTAACTGTCTTCTCTTTTCCCCGATTTGTTAAGTTATGCCTCTCTCTTAGTCCCCTGACATACTCGTTTGTCCATCTTTTCCAAAGGTTCTGCTTGCACTTTTCCAAATACTTGGCTCGTTTCCTCAAATCTTTGTTTTGTAAATCACGAGCTTCTTCATTTATCAGTGAATTATGATGGCCTAACAGCATTATGTTGGGAGTTAATTCTGGTAGCTGAATATCGTCTTCCACATAACACAAGGGCCTGTTGTTTAGGGCTATCTCCACATCCAACATGATCTCTTTCAACTCTTGAAGGCTAAGATTTGCTCTTCCCAAAACTTTAAACATTGCTTGCTTAACGAGGCCTATAATGCGCTCAAATTGCCCTCCCCACCAGGGGGCCTTACTTAAATTGAACTGCCACTTTATGTTGTTCCTTGCGAGATAATTGTGAATCTTTTCACTTTCCATTATCTTTCGTATCTTCTTTCAGGCCGCTACGAATGTTTTGGCATTGTCCGTGTAAATCTTGTTTGGGTGACCTCTTCTTGCGATGAACTCTTTGAGACAAACCATAAACTGATCAATTGTCATATCTGTAACAACGTCAATGTACACTGCTCTTGTCAAACTACACGCAAAGAGTAGAATGTACGCTTTTCCTTCCGTGTTCGCTCTAACTTTGTATGCTAGGGGACCTGCAAAGTCCACCCCTATGACCTCAAATGGTCTCGATCCTTCTGTGCGATCTTTTGGTAACATTCCTGCTGATGGTTGACTATAGGCTTTAGTGTGAAACCTCTTGCATCCGTGACAATTGCTCCGTATTCTCTTTACCATCTTCCTAAGCCTGGGGATCCAGTATGTTTGTCTCACATATGCCATCGTCAGACTCACTCCCCATGTAATGTTGCGATGACATGGGCGTCAGCTACAATCTTCTCACTGAACAGTGAATCTGATGGCAAATAAATTGGGTAACTTCCTTGAATCCTCCCCATGCACTTGTAAATCCCTTGGTTGTTCTTTTGAAGGTTTCATCTCTGTTGCTCATTTTTGAATCTCTCTGTGCTCTTGCTACGTGCTTGAACTCTCTTGATCCACCACATGATCTGACTCTGAATCTCCTCTGTTGTGAGTGGACCCTTGATTCTATCAGCCTTCTTCGCTCTACAGTTGGTAGCAAATCTGTTCATCCATGCCATCAGCCTCATGGTGTTCCCATATGTGTGTTTCTCTAGGATTTCGTCGAATTGATCTCTCATTTCTACTGAGGCTTTGAAAATCTCTTTGATTGGCTTTGTCTAGACCTCTGACTCTTCTGTTGACTTTGTTTCTATGTTGAGTGGCCAATTTTCTGCATCTGATAACCACTCTGGATCTCTGAACCAGCTCGTTGGAATTCTGTTTCCAGGACACCCCCTGCTCCCGATGTCTGCAGGGTTATCTACAGTGCCCACATGTCTCCACTCTATGAAATTCTTTTCTTGAATCTGTCTTACTCGATTGCTTACAAACTGCTTATAATATCCATGTCCCTTTATCCAATGTAAAGCTACAGAGCTATCCAGCCATCCATAGCAAGATCTGACTAGAAGCCCAGTGAGGCTTCTCCTTATGTTTGCCAGCAGATTGGCTGCCATGTGGCCCGAGACTAGCTCAAGTCTTGGTATCCTTAGTCCCTTCTTTGCTAGCCTTGATTTGGCAGCAAGGAGTCCTTGACTAACTCTTGATGGTTGTGTGATCACTGCATAAACACAAGCTGCTGTCCCAAACCCACTTGAATCACCAAAGGCGTGAAGATCAATCGAATCTATGCTTTCTCTGAATTCTGATATGCTCCTGGGAATCTCTACTTTGTTTGGTAATGCCTTTGTCCATTTGTTCCACTTGTCTGATAACTCTGTGGATAGCTTTTGGTCCCATGGCAGTTTTGCATCACAAACATCTCACTAAATGAGCTTTCCCCCCAGAGTCACTGGTGATACAATGCCCATAGGATCATAGACTGATGCCAAGTTCTTCAGCAAACTCCTCTTTGTTACATTCTCTCTCCGATTTTCTGGAAAAACTACCCCAAGAGTATCCGCATCTTTGTTCCAAAACAAACCCAACAGCTTTGTTTCATCTCTTCCCACTCCTAATTGCTGCTTTGCAAAACTCTGCTCTGAGATCTCTGAATCTGTCTGTTGTATAACATCTTGCTCTAGCCCTGGCAGGTTTGAGTGCCACTTGTGTAACTTAAAGCCAGCTACATCGAAAATCTTTACAACTTTATCCTTCAGCTGTTCCATGTTAATTTGTGTTTCTCCAGATAACAGAATGTCATCAACATAGATACAGTGTCGTATCTCCTCTACTTCCGCAGGAAACTGTGCTTCTTGTGAACGCATGTGCTCTTCTATTGTAGCCCCTAATAAAAACGGTGATTGATTTAGGCCAAATAGGGCGCGTGTAAATCGGAATGTCTCTACGTTCTCTCTGTCTCTGTCTTTAATCCAATGGAAGCGCAACACATCAAGATCCTCTTCCTTGATACTGATTTGTAGAAAAGCTTGTTTTAAATCCTCTGCAAGTGAGATTGGTCTTACTCTATTCCTTGCTAGGACATCCCATATAAGGTTTTGCAATGGTGGCCCTGTCTCTAAACATTCATTGAGTGATGGTGCATTGTGGTTTGGCTTTGCAGATGCATCATAAGCCACTCTGACTTTAGTGCTTTCAGCTGCTTGTCTCACCACTGGCTTGTGTGGCAGGTAAAAGGCCCTCCCCCCTGGTTCATGTTCCGCTCTTTCAATGATTCCTTGTGCTTCTTGGTCCTTGATGATCTGATCGTACTGTGTAAACAGCTCTGGCTCCCTCTGAAGCTTCTGTGCTAACTTGTCTAGCCTCGCAAGGCTTCCAGCTTTGTTATCTTGTAGTGGTGGGCAGTTTGCCTTCCATAAAAGCCCTGTCTCATAGTAACCCTGTGGCTGTTGCTTCAACTGCTCTCTAAACTCACTTTAAACTGAATCTTCTTCCCCTTGTTGATGATTTTCTAGTCCTAGGACATCTAGGTTGCAAAGGCGCTCATAATCTGCTAATGTCCCTTTAGCGAAGAACATGTGACCTGCATCGGCATCTGCTCCAGAAGATATCAGCGTCCAGCCTAATCTTGTATAATCACCTACAGGCTCTCCCGGTTCTCCTGGTTCACCTACAGGCTCTCCCGGTCCATCTGTTTTGATCTTTGCGTATTCTGATGCCCCCAAGATTACATGGACAGGAAGCTCTGGTTTTTGATCGACGTCATCCATCGTTACTCCTTGTAGATGAGGGTATTTCTTTAGAACATCTTGATACCTTGGATTCTTTACTGAAACCAACACCTCCCTATCAACTTTGCTTACATCAATTTCTAGCTTGAAGTCCCCCTTAAGATTTTGTACCTCCACATTGTAAATCTCAATTTGCCTGTTTACTGTGCTCAACATCATGTCTATCTGTCTGTTTTGTTTTGAAACTGGCCTTTTCCCAAGAATGTTCACCAGCTTATCTGAGATGTATGAGCTACCAGCCCCCGTGTCTAGTAAGGCCCTGCATTTTACACCATTTACACTGACAATAACAATGGGATATATTACTCCTTGCTCCCCTGTTGCTAATAAAACTTGCTCTGGTTTTTTATCACAAATTGATGTATGATGTCTCGCACTACAAACTTGACATCCGCTTCTTACCCAACATTCTGCGGCTCTGTGATTGGTTCCTGTACAATTGAAACAAAGTTTCTTTTTCTTCAAACACTCTCTCCTTTGGGTTATTTCTGTCACTTTTTTGCATTCAACTGATTTGTGGTCATCCCCCTCACAATAAATGCATGGCCTTCTTTTCCATTCCTGCCTTACTTGAAATAATTTTTCACGTTTCTATGTACCCTGGTTAGCTTCGCGGAAATTTGTACTTGCCCCCCTCTCTTCTTGGGATATGGGATTTCGCTCAGTCCATCGTCTGAGTGCGTTTACTAACTGGGGGAATCCCCATTCCTGCCAGCTGTGATCGGTACGAACTAAATCTGCACGTATCCCCTCAAGCTTATCTAATGTTGCCCGGGTTAGACCATTTATTTCTCCTAAATTCCCCATCGATTCTAGGGCCTGTACACTGATCACCAGCTTCCCATAAAAATCATGAATTTTCGCAGGGTTCCCCCCTTTAATGACTGGCAGCGCTGTGACATTCTGCACATAGGCATTTATGATCTCACTTGATTTACCATATGTAGATTTTAGGATTTGTTTTGCCCTTTCATAACCTTCTGTTGTAAAAGGAAGACCTTCTACGTTAGCTCTGACTTTTGGCATAAGCAACTCTTTCAAGTAGGAAAATTTCGTGACAGAATCTATCTTAACTCTATCAATCTCAGCTTCAAATTGATTCCAAAATCTATACCAGTCTAGATGGGTACCCTGAAACTTTGAAATAATTAGCTTTGGCAACTTAACCTTTGTTGATTCCTGTTCATTTGGAGGTGAAGTTGATTTAAGTTCCTCCAATCTACGCTCATAATGAAATTTCTGCTCAGACCTAGCTTTCTCCAGCTCCGATTCTACCTCAAACTGCCGTTGTTTTGACGATAAAAGCTCCTGTTCTTCCTCTCTTTGCTCGCTTAATTTGATCTGCTTCAAAGATCCTCTCATTTCCGCCATGATGTGATCAAATTTCTTGATTTCTCCCTCGATTTTGTTGCTCCAGTTTCGAATTTCTCCTGGGTCGTCATCATTCTCCAATTTCAGCTCCTGTACGTTGGTTTTCAGCTCGTACACTTCTTCGATTTTGGATTCATAAATCTTTAGTTGTCTCTCTATAGCCTTGCAATCCTTTGTGTTCAAAATACCTCGCGTTTCGTCTTCGATAAATTTCAACAGGCCTAGTTTCCCTGCGACTTTCTTTGATAAATCCTCCTCGCTTGCTTGATTCGCCATACTCTCGATTTTTGGTTGATCTAAACTCCACTAAAGGTCGTTGATTTCTCCCATCTGGGGTGCCACTTTGTCGCGAATTGGTTGAAGCACGACAACAAAAAACTCACAAGGTTTGATTTTCAATCTATTTTTCCAACCAAAACGTACAGCGATAACATAAAAAACCACAGCAGAAGCTCACGCCCCCACTTTTCTCCTCACAATCAATAAAACTGTATGTCTCACAAACAATAAAAAGGTTAAAGGTTATTAAGAATAATGTCAATTGTCTGGTTCTCTTGTGTCCTTCACAGTAACGCACGCCTCCGCGACAAAGATATTCGATTTGCTTTTTTGTTGAATTGTTCCTTTGTTTGCAAATTAGTTGCTATTTCGTCATTGATTGCAAACTAACAAAACTTACATCTCATTTTATGGTGTACATTTGTGCAATTCCTATTTGCGATTGTGCATTGACTTCTAAACCAACCATTTCGTCTTTTAGATTCAATTATTGTCGGAAATGTTTCAAAAATAGAATTGTCTCACGGATGCCTAATCAAGGAAAATTGGTGCAAAACAACGACAAAGATACGCCGAATTCAATTTGCCATCGGGGTTTTCCTTGCCTTGGTTGGTTATGCTATGTCCCGGATTGTCACTAATCTACTTTATTCGAAAATATTTGGACCAAGAAAACAGGTGAGACGGAACTATATTTGCCTCATTCAAGAAGCTTATTCTATATAACACTAAAAAATGTGTCTTGTAGAATCAAAATGTATTGGTCAAGGAACCATGCTATTAGCAATAGCAAGTAAGGGCCACTGTTAGAAAGAACAACACAGGGAATCTGGTAATGGAAAGGCATGTTGGTGCTAATATCGTAAGGCAAAAAAGAGCCCCATTGACCATCTTTATATAAATTCTATCAGATTTCATCGTAAACAAGATGCTGATTTTATCTAATACCAAATTGGCGAAAGTGTTTTTATATACCATATTCATCAGCAGCATCACTGAAGACCAAAACGCTTTGACATCGTACCGTTCTCCTCTCAATACGTTATCGCGTATGTCTTTATTCTATACCATATTTGTCAGCAGCATCATGTACACTGAAGACCAATACGTTATGCTATCACGCTGTTTTCACCTCAATACGTTATCGTGTACACCTCCTTTTTCTACCGTGTCTATCAGCAGACCGAAAGACCAATACGTTATGATATCGTTCCCTCCTCACTACAATACGTTTTCATGAATGTCTTGATTTCACATCATATTTATCAGCAATAACATGTAAAGAGAAAGCTAATACATTATTATATCGTTCAGTATTCGTTCAAATACCTTATCATGCATGTCTCACTGTATCTATCAACTGCATTGTGTAAACAAATAACCAACCAATACGTCATGATATCATACCGTAATCATTTCAATACGTTACCGCTAAAGTCCGTTTCTTAAAATTTAAGACTAATATTGCATGATAGCGGGAGTTATCGGGTAAACGGGTCTTTATATTGATAGAAGAAAATGTCAAGAATCAATTTAGAGCTCCTCGGTGGCAAAATCAGACCTTCATCTTGGGGGCCCAATCCTACGATTTTCCAACAAGATAACATCTTGGATCATGTCTAATTTTTAAGAAACTGCACATTTTGATAGAATTAGATGATTTTTTGACGGGAACCTTCGAATTTTTGGCTGACCACGCTATAATTAGGTAGCAAGAAGAACAATTCATTTATGATTTTTGATATCAAGATCTGAGGCAATTCATGATACAAGAGGTCGACCGACTACACTTTTGACAAATCGTCGCTTCTTTTTTTCTTGTTTTCGTCAGTAGGAAATACGTTTGAAAATAACTTTTTTTCGGAAGAATCCGATGGAAATTTCGGCTAAACTTTACGGAATTGAAATTAAATATGCAATTCACAAGCAGCTTTGATTTTGGTCATATATTGTTTGATTTATTATTTAGTACTGCCAGGCCGGTCACATGGGTTGTGTGGGGGTGTAGTTCCCCCAAGAATAGACATTTGTGTTTTAGTCGGTAAAATTCGGTTTTTGATCGGTAAAATTGGGATTTTGACGGGTAGATAATCTTTTTAAATTTTCAGACAATTTTGTCCTTTTGGTAATTTTTAAAAACATTCAAAAGATATTAAAAAGTTCTGCAGTTCAGTTCTTCTGTTGATCTAGAAGAGGATTTTCAGGAACATCACAAAAGACGAATAGTCCCAAGAAATTTGACAAAAACAGAGACACAAATATTAAAAAGTTCTGCAGTTCAGTTTTTCTGTTGATCCAGAAGAGAATTTTCAGGAACATCACAGATGCATTTTTAGCCATTCTAGAAGGCTTAATTTCAAAAAATTTCTTTCGCGTCGGATCCAACCATGGCGGGTCTTCCTATGTCACTAAGCTTGATTTTTAGCCCCCCAGGCTCAATTTTGTGGCCCCGTCTCTGAAAACTGCGAAGCACAATGCTCCAAGGATCGTCTACAATCTCTTACACTAATTTCGTGCGAAGAAATACTTTTCACAGAACTTAAATTTGCTCTCTGTTATCAAGAAGTGGGTCAAGTTGAAAAACAGAAGACTTCAATTTAGAGTTTCTAAAGGTTGAATTAACTACGTGACCACAAAAGCTTATTTTAGAACTTTCATAAAACTAATAGCTTTACAGCTGAAGTTGCTTTGTAATAGCTGAAATTTAAATATTAACAATGCTAAAATATTCTGATTGCATTAACGTAGTGTAATGCTGCCAAATTGTACTCGTTAGATAAAAACTTGCACCCTCCCCCCCCCCCCCCCCAAAAAAAAGAGCCTGAGTACTGGATAATTTTTGATCAGCTATCCTATGGTAAAATTTTGCAAAAAGGGTCACAGAGAGGTTGTAGAGGCACCCGGCGGTAAAAGGAGAATATGCCGATCACGTGCGAGCGAAGCGAGCAAAAAATTTGGCAATTACGTCCCTTAAGCCTGGTTTCCATATAGCCGTAAGGCTGCCTGCGACTGCCTGCGACTGCCTGCGACTGCTTTCTGCCATCTTCCATCTTCCACCCTTACAGTAGCGCCGGCAAATGGAAACGTTCTGTTTTCAATTGCCTGCGGTATCGGTAACTATGCCAGTAACTAGGTAAAGTTTGAGCGGGAAAAACTGGCGGGCAAAATTCAACAACAAAGCCCTGTTTCAATTGGTTCTTGCACATCACATGATCCGTTTGAACAAAAGAATGCCGCAGGCAGCCGCAGGCAAGGCGTTTCCATTTGTAATTTGTCTGCCGGCGGTACCGGGAGGCTGCCGTAAGAGCCGGGAAAAGTTGAACTCGTTCAACTTTCTCCCGGCTCTTCCGGCAGTCTTACGGCACTTCAAACAGCTGCCTGCGGTACCGTTAGAAAGCGTTTCCATAAAGAATTATCTGCCGGCGATACCGTAGGGATGGAAGATGGCAGAAAGCAGTCGCAGGCAGCCGCAGGCAGCCTTACGGCTATATGGAAACCAGGCTTTAGATTAGCTTAAAATTTCTTTTCAGAACGATTTCTTGGAGTAATTTCAGCACGTTAAACGGTTGTTAAATTCGTTGGTATGTTGCAGTAAATCTGAACATTTGTTGAGTAAAATTCGCCTGCCACAGGAATGAAAGAAGGATGTGTGCTTGCTTCTTACCCGGGGCCAAATCCATACACAAAGCAAATTGTAAGGAATATAAGTACAGCGTATTGTAATAGAGGTACTAAGAAAGATTTACACTCTCAAAAAAACTTTGAAGGCCATGGGAAGCTATACAATTAATTTAATCATAGTCAATAGAAAAACTATTGTCAATTGTTTCTATTGACTATGCTATGATCAAGAGTGCGTGGTCTCTAAATGGAGTAAATAGCCATGTCTACTTTCAGCGAAGATAATTCTCACCTTGTCCAACGTGTGTCATTTTCTTATAAATTTCTAAATATACCATGAAATCTGTACCCTTTTTGGCACTTACTAATGTTTTGGAAAAAAGATATTTGTACCCTTTTTATTCACAAAAGAAATTTCAGCCGGAATATTTTACAGCAAAACTCAGTTAACCCTCCTTTCAATAAGAGGCCATAAAATTGTAATCCGAAAGGTGGCTTGGGCACTTTTTAAAGCTGTATATCCTTCTAGTATGCCTATTTAATCAAGTCTAGCTGTTAATCAAGTTAATCATGACAGCATAACTAAGAAACTCTTAAGAAACAATGCGTATTGAAATTTCCAGAACACTGAGAAACTGGAGTACTCAACATCGACCTTTGTTTCTTATAAAAAAATGAGTGTAACCACATTGATAACATTTCACAGAACCATTGCTACAATAGCAGGATCATAAATAGGGTTTGTTGCTATGGACTTGACGCCTCATTGCTGAGTCATAAAGATTTTATGTTCTGTGTACAATGGGTTTTTTTTGGTTGCTTGAACTGGTGGCCGTTAAATACATTGTTACGTAAATTATCTATTACTAGAAACATTTTTCCCTATCTGTTTGTACTTACTTGTTCTATAATCGCATTGCTACTGGCTACAATGGTTTCTGTCCTAAGGCCGGTAAGTTTATTCATTGACAATATTTTCAAGTCTTTTGAACGATTTTCAATAGCAAGCTGTCGTTTTAAACTTTTTATGTTTCAATATGGTAATCTATCAGACCTTCATACAAACAAGAATCAAGACCACATGAAGCGAATTCTTAGCGCGGAGGCAGTAGTGGAACAAAGATAAGGATTTCAAAATCCGAATCGACGCCCAAAAGCTCGTAAAATTACTGCGAAGAATTAAACAGTGTTCAAAATTGTTTGGTGGGCCAGAAACCGTAGAACCGCCTGAAATTTTCGCAAAAACTGTCAACCCGTGCAATGCTATCTTGACACGAGACTACACTAGAAGCCCTATACCCCAACTTAAGAAATCAGGCTACATTCTTCGCAGACAGGCTTCAGTAGGGCAAATACACACGAGAACTGAGAAATTTAAAGCTAGTTTTTTCCAAATTGTTTATCTGAATGGGAAAAATTCGACCCAGAGATCAAACAATCCTACTCAGTAAGTGCTTTCAAAAAACAACTATTTGCATTTATCCGTCCACCTCAAAAACTAGTCTACAACATCCACGACCCAAAAGATTTATCCATTTTGACACAACTTCGTGTTGGACTTAGCAAGCTGAATTTTCACAAATTCAAACATAACTTCAGTGATACCTTGAATCCTTTGTGCCCAGTAAATGATGGTATTGAGGATACGGAACACTTTTTGCTGCTCTGCCATGCTTATGATACAGATAGACGTGATCTTCTTGATAATGTGAGGGCTATATTGCAACCCTATGGATTAACAAACCTTTCAAATGAAGCTTTACTGCAAACAATTCTTTATGGTCATGAAAAATTATCTTTAAATTTAAATACAAAAATTCTTGAGGCAACATTTTAGAATATATTCAGACCTCTATAATGTTTCATTAAGTAGTTTTAAAAATCTTCTCTTCTATGTAATTTATCTTTCATTATTCTTGTTTTGTTTTTTTCAATGTATTTTGTCTTTGTTTTTGTTTTAACTTCCAAATTTTGAGTGTTTTTTTGTTATTAGTAATCTGTAATATGTAATTAGTAGCATACAATGTAATTCCAATTTGAAGTTAATATTTTTAATG